CTGTTATAGGTTTTGGGTCCGTACTTTGACCGAGAACACCGTTTCACATATTTGGGTCATAAAGTGTAGTATTAATTCTAGTTGGCATTAATCCTCTTTAAATCTACATGCCACTGCACTCTACAATTTTAACTAGCACAGGCTTTCAGTTTATATACATGCCATATACACCACCCATTTGAATCGTTTGATACCGAATATCGACCGTTCTAGGTTGCTGTATTATATGAAACAGTTCTTTCCACGTAATCTCGAGAGTAAAATTTATCTAGTGCGCACAGTTTTGTTCTATTTTACATTCAAACTTATACCTATATACTACGTCATTACTATGATCTTCCAGCCACTTCTTTCCCTTCCATTTGTCACTTTTATTGATGATCATGATGCTCTTAAACTTGTCCTAAACACAGTTCATGATTTCCGAACAATCTTAATTCCTCCAACCTAATTTTTGTAACCCTGTTTTTATTTCAACATTTCCCTTAATTCATCTGCTACTACTCACTTTTCAATTATGCCTCAAAAAAAGAATGCTTCTGACTCCAGGCGTCTAACCAAATGTATGAAACGTTCATGATCTAACACTTCTGTCGACACTATTCACGGTGGATATAATGAGTCGTGCTACTCGACTCATCCCGAAACAGACAAGCTGATACCAGTTATCGCCATTCCAAATATGTTAAAGACTCTGTTGGTAAACCATGATGACACTGATAACTGCAACTATATGGATGACATAAGCAAAATGACGTGAATATTTTCGATTCACCTAAGTATCTTGTCAACCCAAACCTCTCAGAAATTCCAGATCAAATGGGCGACATAAATAATTTCCTGGATCATGTTGATTCAGAGGCGTTTGAGAGAATAAGACGATCCTGCAATGTAATCGTGTTTGATATACCAAGAACACGTTCTAAAACTATTAGGTCTAAGCCGCTTACAACCAGAAACATGAAATACGTACAATGTGCATGCACAAGAATGAAAACAAGTCAACCTAGCTTGTATTTACCGATATTATTCAAATTCAAAACACCTGTAAACGCCAGTGTATTTCCAATTTTATCCAATACCATCATTAAAAAAAGATTCTCAGGGATGTTAAGAATCGTTCTCATAGAACACCATGGGAGCAAAAAGCAGGAAAGGCACTAGCATCAATGTCTCAAACGTTTCCTGATCACAAATGTCATAAAATTAGGTCCGGTTCTGAGAAAAAATCTCAGGTTTTAGGTAGGCCGCCATCAATAAACTCTCTTGAATCTCTTAAAATTCAGAACCTAGAATAAAGTAACTTCAAACCAAATGACGTTCATTCTTCTAAAAATGTTGATATAGATCTGACGATGAACAGTTGTGCTGACTATGAATCAGTTAATAAAGTTCAAATTCCCGTCATTGCAACACCCAGTTGCAGTAAATGTGAGACGAATAACGGGGAAAATATCTATAGATATTGTATAACTGACTGTGTGGTTTAAGTTGTCCTACAGATAATCGACTAGAAATGTAAACGCGATACTGGCGACACCATAGTCTATGTGAAAACTACGGTCAGAACAAAAAACATATTGAATTTAAACTTCATCCATTCCAAAACATAAGAAAAACTGCATTAGTAAAATAAAAAAGGAATCCCATTAGTAATGTGGGACGCAGAAACATACCGACCAGCAGAGCGTATCATATAGAAATGAATGAAAATTGTAAGTCAGGCTATTATAATAGGATAATAATGTCTTTTAATTGACAGGCCACATGCAACAGGGATAGTCTACAAACACTTCGGGCCAGATTGACATGGTGGTGGGCGCCTAAGTAACGACTTGATTGGTTAGTTATGGGCATAACTAACACTGACTACGCACTAGACATTGATATATTTAAACCTAATTAACGCTCGATTCTCTCTAAATCACATGGGAGCTAAAAGCAGCCACAAACCTTGGAAACAAACGTCTGGAACATGTTACACATCCATCAAGTATAAATGGTTACTTGGTCTCATAAAGAAACCTGATAACCTTATTGGTTCTGCTCCCAAGATGTGCACAGTGCTTCTACCAGATGTAAAAGTCGATAACAATCAGGAGACTTTTTATGCACTTCCACTGGCTTCTCTGCTGGCAACAGTAAGTACATTACAAATGATAAAAAAGTTTCTGAATCTAGTCCTCCCCACAACAAAACTCTTACCTTAGTTAATCTCATGGGTATTCACGGAGCTACCGCCCATAATCCGTTCTCTAACCAGCTTCTCGATGATACCTCTCGGCTTTCTATTCTCTCATTCAATGCCCGCTCCCTCCAATAAAGTCAGCCATTTTAAAACCATTTTACTCCCTGTAAACCCAATCATTGTAGTGCAAATCATCTATGTCCTATGACTCTTTAAACTACATTTTCCCTCGAACCGATAGATGCCATGGAATAGGGGGAGGTAAAATTATTTATGCCCGTTCAAACATTTGAGAATGGATGTCTTGCTGCTATTATGACTCCACTTGGATACCATGGAATTTGATCCGAACAATTATCTACCGGTGGGGTGTATATACAGACCATGCCATGAGGATACTAGTTTTGACAAATTGTCAAAAATATTTTCCATTGTTTCTCAATAACCGCACAAATTTTACACTGGGACGAACTAACCTTCCGGACTCATTTTATCCTCAGCATACTAAATTGAATTTGATCACCATTTGCAATTAGTTAGGATTTTTATGACATCATTCTAGACTATTACTACACAAACAGTTATTCTACCATCAAACCACACTAAATCAACGACTCATTTTCTCACTTATTTATTTATTGTTTCCTTTGGTAATACTCATATCACCGTTTATTCTTATTCTGTTTTCACTAATATTCTTGGCAACTTATTTATATATTGAACATTTCTCTGCTTCACGTTTTTCCTCTTTTCTTTCTTTGAAGTCAGCTTAATATTCTTTCAAATTCTATAGAATTTGTTTAGATATGACGAATATTCTGCAAACATTATTGAAACTTTTGTACAACTGCATTTCCAAAAAACCCGAAATGGTTTCTTCACAACACTTATACACCAATAATCTGTTTGTGAATAGTAATAATTCGGACAACAGGATTGGTAAATTTATTCTACCCTTTATCACCTAAAAAGGCTTAAAGAATGGGTAAACGCCCATTAGAAATATGGCATTTTGAGAAAACAGATTAGATTGGGTTACGTAACACAGATTATGACCAACCTGTAGTACATAATAAAACCGCGTTAGCGATCCATGACCTTCAAGACTTGTTAAACATTCAGCGTTCTCTGATTAGTTCTTTAAGCCAGCGACACATTTTACGTGATCAGTCATTCGGTTACGGTTCAGTGTCACTCACCGAAGACTATTTGTGACAGTCCATGGTCTAGACTCCTTGTTGTTTCGGAGAGGAATCAAATGATGGTATACTCCATAGCATACAACTGATGTAGTCATATACTGATGTAGCCAGATACTGATGTTAAATTCCTTTGAGAGGCGTGATCAGATGTACTACTTCGACAGGTTAGGAAGATGGTATTAGTAAAGGGGGATATTATATTCGAGCTTATGCTGAAGTGGACGTCTGACGTTAGTAACCGAAACTTCTGATGGATAGAGAGAGCGTCTTATGACATCTGGGCTGCCGTAAAATGTGTAGGGGAAACGACTTTAGCTAGTTAATTCAGAGGCCGTTGTGAGTTATGAATTCGGAGTACTTTTCGGTAAGTTGTGAGTAAATAGCAGTCTGATAACAGAACGTTCAGGTTATATAGCCATGGTCAACTAGACTGACAAAAGTGATTCAACCGAAATGTTCTCGTGCAACAACTTAATTAGTCACCAACCAGTATCAATAGAGATTTTATTGGGGCATAGCACCTTGTCTTTGAAGATGCCACAAGTATTTTGAATTTGACAATGTTTCAACCAGTATCACCTAATATGAGCCGTACCCACCAAGTGAAAGCAAAAGACAGAATCGGGGAGGTTCGCAGACATATTCGATAGACTATCAATATATAAAGAATTGAAAAGAAATTTCTTCTCTCATTTCGTTCATTCTTTATTTACCAAATGGCAAAATGGGAATTTTCACTATATCAAGAATCGACTGTGCTAGACTGGCTAGCGATTGCAGGGGATGTTGAGCACGGCGTTCCCACTCGTGATCCGGTGCGTATACATGACCGAGCGCCTTCAGCTAGGTGAGTCCATTAAAACTAATGTGGTCAGCATCCAATATCGAAGACTTACAGAGCTATTTATTTTGGAGATCTATTTACCGCCACATCGTTTACTCTATTTAAGACTGAAGAAATGTCCAAAAGTTTTGACTACATAGTCCAGTGAAATTCAACTGACGTTGTTCAGTGATTTGCTCGAGTTGTTTATTCGATTTATCTTGTCATGACATATACACCTATGAAGATTAAGATGACTGATCTGTATTTCGAATCTTTCATCACAATTCTCCTTTGATGTAACGACAAAATCCTTCCTTATCAATAATTTTCCGGATTTGACATAACTGGGTTATTAATCCTAGACAGGAAAGCCAACTGACAAGGACCGTTTTTCCCCTATGGTTATAACATAAAGATGTCACGGATATCAATGGTTTGAGAACGCCGTTGTCCTCAACATCTTTTTAATTGAAGACCCGAAACCTGGTTATTCAACGGGTCAGGAATGACGAGATTCGAAGATACATTTGGAGGATATTTAACTGGTCTGAAAATAGGTGAACTAAGCTGACTAATTGTTGCGAGAGATGAGTAGCACAACATAACCAATTGTGATCTGGTGAGGATGCTAGGGTATTTTCACTGAAACTAGTAAGCAAACTAGTCAGTAATAATACTGAAGACTAACAGAATCTTTTTTGGGGGGGGGGATTTATCTACCACTACAAATAATGCGTTTGTTCAAGCTTTTCAGAGCCGCGTGGTTTAAAGCTGTCTCTTCGGAATGTCGGTTGGTTTGGATTTCCAGGAGTCTCGGTTGAGGTCGATAGTCGGTATGTCTTCTATATCAGCAGATTGGATAAAAATAAAAGTACTACAGAACCTTTCGAAAGTGGCAATTATAAAAAGGCACTCCAAGAGGCAAATAAAATTCTCAAAAAAACACCAAATTGCACGTCAGCAAAGGTTTGATCACTTGTTCATCCTACAAGATTCCTACTAGGCACTTAAAGCACTCACACTCCATAGATCTGGAAAAATTACTGAAGCCAATCTGCTAGCTGACGAACTCATTAAGTCATACCCCACTGATGAGTCTACACTTAATGCCATCATGTGTTATTTTCGGAAAACTGGACAGGGCGAAAAAATAGCTGAGTTCTTAAAACGTTCTCTTGAAAGGTCACCTAACAGAGAAGATTTGTTGGTCTGTTTATTCCTTCATCATGTTCAGGAAAGGAACTTTTCTGCACAGCAAGCAACTGCTAGGCTTCTTTTACAAAAATTCCCGTCAAGTGCGTTCAACTACTGGGTTATAATGAGCACAATAATGCAAGCCGAGTCAAATCCTATAATGGGACATCGTATGTATTTGCCGCTGGCGGAGAAGATGCTAATCAGGGAAGCCGAGAACGGAAAAATGTCTAGACATTCTGAGCTTCAGGTGCTAATAGAATTACTTGCTCGCCTTCAAAAGCATGAAGAAGCTTATAAACTTCTTAGTCGAAAAGACATTACAGGTAAAAAGGCACTATACTGAGATAATATCAATCATTCCAATAGATCGTATAAATAACGAGGACTACATTTGCGATTACTCTTCCATGAAGCTCAGTTTGTTAGCTCATTTGGACATATGGGATGATCTTTATGAGTTGGCAAAATCCCAAACACAAATCAACCCAGACGACTGGACACCATGGAAAAAACTAATTGAGACGTCTTTAAAAGACATACAGCGGTAATGCGTTAATATTTTTATGTCTTTATCGCTTCGTAATCAAAATACACGACGCATTATATCTTGTTGGTGTGGTCAATACAGTCTTAATCAAGTTTGTTCCACTTTGCTTTTAAACTTAGTTGTTGAGGTCCAGGTTGTGACTTTTGGGTTCAGTACCAATAGAGTCCGGCTTCACCAAATCTACAAATTGGTAATATTTCCAAAAGAGATCTAAATTTCACTAACCTGCATTCTTTTTGTACGTCTTACCGTAGCACAACAAGAATTATTGTGCCACCAAATTCCATGTGTCCCCACTTGCTTCAGTCAAGTACATAGTATATTCCCCACTAAAAGCATTCCATAAAACCTACATTAATCACAATGTGATGGATTAGAGTTAGCTTAAAGAGATGATGCATATGCTTACGTCCTTTTCTTATCAAGATTGTCTCATGTATGCAGTAAATTCTTCAGAATACGATTAAGTTGTAATTGTTCAAAAATCACACTTTGTAAAGGTCCTTTCAATATCTTTCTGGGTATGTATACGGTCTTTAATAAACGACATGGAACTTGGTACTGACAAATATCTGTTCATGTAGCAACACTTTGGAGAAAAGAAAGTAGTAAGGGAAATAAATTGTGAAAAGAACCTCAGTGTTAGTGAGCAACCAAAATTAGGACTATATTTTATACACTGAAGAAAGTTGTTCTTTTTGGGGCCAGTGATCAGACATCGGAATGTAATTTCAAGCCAGTCCCACTCCGGTTCCGCTTTGTTTACTCAGTTTACTATTCAGAAGTGTGTAGTTTCAAACCAGTGTTTTAACTCATACAGTGATGGATCTGTCAGTTCACTAAAAGTATATAAACATGTAATACATATTTGCGCGAAGTTGTACTCTAGTGACGACTGATCTCGATGTGCAAAGAATATGTGCTTAAAGTTCTATCTTTTCGTTATTCCTTGTATTTTAAATAAAATAAATAAATAGCATAATCTATAGCAGTAATTTATAGTAGGTTTTGTGCATTTTAAGTACGTCCGAGTTACAATACATAATTCGGTTTCCATTTTATTTTTCAAAAATCTGTTTAACATATTGTAATCTCTTCATTATTCTTTCCCCTATTAGCTTAGCATATGACATGTAGTCATGGGTTATTTGCATCTGACAGTTTAGAAACAAATTTATCAGATATCTTTTATATATTCGAAAAACAGGGAATTGCCCCGGGGTATTTAGTTATATGCACCAATAGTGTTTAAGACCATTTGTGTAGTAATCTTTATTCTAGCTACTGCTTATGGATGGATTCTGTTAATTGGTGCTAATCGACGCTCAACACGTCTCTGTATTTGCCGTTTCTGTTACATTAGACGTTGAGTGAGCTTGCAATCGTTTTTTTACTTCGATTTGTTTTAAACACTGTTTGGTACTCATTTACTATTACTTTAATAGAAGATAAATGAGCAGCCAAATTTTTTTCATAAAATAGTGTAGAAAAAGTTATGTCGTTAATCGACATCGCCATAACGAATCATCCTTATAATCGTGGTCCTCAATTGGCGCGTTTGGATATGTATGCGAACCTGTTACAGTTGGGAATGCATCTTGTTTATAATCATAATCCATTGACATTCTTGGAGGATTACTTTAATACATTCTCTCATAAGCCCATATGTTCTATGGATTTGGCTTACCTTTTACGTATGGTTTTACCAAATCTGGATGATCAAATCAAGGTAAATCCTCTGATTTCCTTCGTTACACTCATTGCTCTTGTAGTATGATTTTATTGTTTTTTTTTCAAGCAGCCCGGTTAGTCAAGCACTCAAACAGATTTATTTTTGTGTGTATGATGCAACCAGTACATTATAAGATTTCTTACTGACTTGTTCATCGTTGTCCTAAGTCTTTTATATTTTACTTGTTCCTGGTCTTTATTTTGTTTACAGTGCTAAAATTGAAAGAAAAACATTCAGTGGTTTTTAGTAAAACCAGTCAAAAACAGGTTTTCTGATTTACTGAATCCGTTTACTTACACTCATTCGTGATTGCAGTCAGGTAGAAGCGGTTTAAAAATTTGTTTCTCTAGTCGAATACTTGCTGTTGGAATTTAGGAAATTGAATTTCTCGTTGTTTGTTGTCAGTCAAGAGCAGCCTTCTCCAATCTGACATTAAACTATGTGCTTTAAGAGATTTTAACTCATTAAGAAAATAAGAAGCAACTGTAAACCGCAAAAATGTAAAAAGGGATCTGTACCAAATTACTGGAGTTAGTAAGTGGTTACAACTTTAACTAAATCCTCGTTAACATAGTAGGAGGTACAGAGAAGCATTACAATTGCGACATTCTGTAAGAAGTGACTGTGAGAATATTTATTTACTATCGAGGAAAAATTTGAATGGTCAAGTATACAGAGGAATTTATGACCAAGTAACTAAGTCTACGTTAACAACATCGGTTCATGTAGTCAATGACCAAATGCTATAATTAAACAAATGAATCATGGATCCGATAGATGTATCAGTACTGTACAACTGAAGACAACAACCGAAGACATCACAGAAGGATAAAACTTATATTTTCCTGAATCAGATGGTTTATCAGCAGTGATTGCATACAGTGGACGTCTCAATGGGTGTTAGTTCTGGTCTGTCCATTTATAAACCAGAATTAACAGTCAAGTGCATATTCTTAGACATACTTATCTGTCACTGTTGTCACGACAAAAGTATTTTATTATAAACTACCCTCAAAGAATGTTCGTGAGAATTTGGTTAAATCAATGATAGTATGTATTTCTATTACTGCTACTTCTAAATGTCATGTTCTGTATTGCGGTTTTTGTTATGTTTTATACGAAAAATTCTAATTGATATGTTTGTCATTTTGATCTTTGAATTTTAAGGCATTAATGACTTAATATTGTCACATTGATCTTTTTTTGCTCTCAACAGTATATTAATTTTGTTATGGAGGTTGCTGAGACAGATCTGAACTTCGTAAGTCATTTTTAGTCTAACATCATTATTGTACATGTATGTCATTGCATACTAATATTATGCTACTTCTTTCCCAACTATCCACATCCCATTTAATAAAGCAACTTGAATTTTCGTGGATTAGTTAATCCTCATGGCCTACACAAGATTTTAGATGTTTCTTATTCTTTTCGTTACTATTGAATGTCTGTAGCATTCTGGAGGTTCTTTTTAATGTCGTGCATCAAATACCTCTTATTTGTACCAGGGTTTTATGTTTTACGTCACAATAATGTATCGTAGAGCCTAATCACAACACTTTAAATGCATTAAACTAATATTATTTCGTGACAAACGTATCACAGTGTATTTACCATGACACGAGTTGTACGAAAAGTAGATTAGATTCTTTCGTATGTTTTTATTCGTTTTGTAATCATAATTGTTTTATGCCAGAATTTTGCTACTTGATTGAAGTTCTTTTGTCATCCATTATATCTACTTGAGTCTGACCACTTATAACAATCAGTTAGTCATATCCAACATAAACACAGCGAGATGAAAGCATTAAGACGAATCCCAGAGTAGTGGAATTGGTAACAGTATTGGTAGTAGTATACAATAGTAGGTGTAGAAAAAGTGTAAGATTTTGGTGTTCAAGAAGTAACGAAAGACAAAGAATGATTGCATTTGCGCCATTGAGATTTCTGAGTCACCACTTATAATTGTCAATATTTATCACTTTTTACAGACAAACAAAGAAGATAAGACCATTTATCGTCATCTGTGCGCTCACCAGATAGCACGTGCTAATAATCAAGGAGCTTCTTTACAGTCATTACTTCGTTACTACTTTGGATATGCCCCAGATCGTAGTGAAGTTTTACTAAAGAAGTTAAAAGATGTTGCTGTTAATAATGAAACAACTCCTATTGACCTTTATCCAGTTGATGGATTTTTGCTATTATCTTTATCCTCGCTTTTGGAAACATCCTCTCCGGCTTATGAGTGTTCTTTCTCTCTCGGAACTGGACTTCTTTCTCTTTACTGGATTTATATAATCGGATTACAACATACAAATCTTAATCACCATTTGCGCATAAAATTGTGTAATTTATACTCTTCAGATTTTCTTAATTGTCCTGAACTTATATTGCCCCAGTTAGACAAACTTGAAATCAAGCAGTTGCTGTTCCTTTCACTAGGGTAAGCAAGTCTTCTATAATTTAAATATTGTCTATGCTAAGTAGATTTGAATTCATGGTTTTAAACATAGCTTTCTTTCAACGACAGCATATTAGTTATGAAACTGCTGGTGAATATAATCGTTTTTTTTAAATGGGGACGTCGAATGACTCTGAATATCTGTTCTAGGAAACCTGCTTACTTACACCTGTTACCCCTCGTGGAGGAGCATCGAAATCTGTCCTGGGAAATTCTTTCCAGTTGCTATTTATCTTTTTGATGTCTCCTTCCAATTCCCGTCGCAGTGTGTTCTTTGGCCTTCCCATTTTCCGTTCCCCTTTAGGATTTGAAGTTAGCGCTTGCTTTGTGATCCAGTTTGATGATTTCCGTAATTTATGTCTTATCCACTTCCAGCGTCTTTTGCTAATTTTCTCTTCAGCTGGAAACTGGTCTGTTCTCTCCCACAGTAGACTGTTGCTGATGGTAACCGGCCAACGGACATTCAGTATCTTGCGTAGACAGCTGTTTATAAATACTTGTACTTTCTTGATGATAGTTGTAGTAGTTCTCCAAGTCTCAGCCCTGTACAGTAGAACTGTCTTGATATTCGTATTGAAGATTGTGACTTTGTTGTCTGGCAGTTGTTTGGAGCTCCACATGTCCTTCATTTGTAGAAATGTGGCCCTTACTTTGCTAGTCCGTGCCTTTACATGTGCATTAGACCCACCTTGTTGATCAATGATGCGGTCCGGTTACGTAAAACTCTCCATCTCTTCCAGAGGTCTTCCATCAAGTGTGATTGTGCTGGTATTCTCCGTGTTGTATTTGAGGATCCTACTTTTTCCCTTGTGTATGTTGAGGCTTACTGATGCAGAGGCTTTTGGTACACTGGTTATCATGACCTGCATTTGCTCATGTGTATGGGATAGAAGGGCTAGGTCATCTGCGAAGTCCAAATCGTCTGTTTGTATCCAAGCTGTCCATTGTATTCTGTGCTTTCCCTGAGATGTCGAAGTCTTGATAATCCAGTCAACCACCGGAAGAAAGAGAGAGATAGAGTAAGCAGGCTTGCCTGACACTAGTCTTCACTCGGAATACGTCTGTCAGTTGACCCCCATTCACGACTTTACGGTGTAGTCCGTCTCACGAATTCCGTATGATGCTGACAATCTTCTCAGGCACACTATAGTATATACGAAGGTTCCATAAGGTCCTTCTATCCACACTGTCAAACACTTTCTCATAGTCGAAGAAAGTTGATGTATGGTGACGAATCCCATTCAATCGATTGCTCAAAAATGATCCGTAGTGTCGTGATTCGGTCTGTACACGACTGATACTTACGGAATTCGCCCTGTTGATCTTAAAGCTGGGTGTCTACTGCGTCTTTCATTCTGTTCAGCAACACTGTTGAAAACGTTTCTCGATACTGACAGTAGTGTGATACCTCTGTAGTCCTCACACTCGCTGGTATCTTCTTACTTTGATATGTTGACGAGGTATCCTTCTTTCCAGTCCACCGGCTTTTGTTCCTCCTCCCAAATCTTTTTGAATAGAAGGTAAAGTATGTTTGTAGTTACTTCGATGTCTGACTTCAGTGCTTCAGCTGGTATGTTGTCGGGTCCTGCTGTTTTCCCGTTCTTGATTTGTCTGATGGCCATTCTGATTTCTCCCTTCGTTGGTGGGTTGACGTCTATGGGAAGATATGTGTGTGCTGCTTCGATGGCCGGTGGATTCATTGGAGCCGGCCTATTCAAGAGTTCCTCGAAGTATTCTACCCATCTGTTCCGCTGTTGTTGAATTTCAGTGATTGGCTTGCCTTCTTTGTCTTTGACCGGTCTCTCTGGTTTACTGTATTTCCCTGATAGTTTCTTCGATGTATCGTAAAGCCCGACCGAAGCTGCTACCTTGACGCGGTGGTCGGGCTTGCCTATCGTGATGACCCAACCGAGCTATATTGGCTGGAACATATGTTCCTGTAGGTTCTACCATGCCAGGCAGGTCGATTGATGAACGGTAAGACTAAAAGCAGCAACTCACGGTCTGAGGGCGAAGTCGTACTGTTGACTGTAGAGAGGTGTGACAGCAGTAAGGTGTTTCCCTCGGACAACCAGCATGACAGTGATGCTGCCTTCCCACAAGGAGGGGTGGGGTTAGAAAAGGTCGAACCTAAAAATGCACACCTCACCTTACCTCACGGATTTCCGTCTCCGGTGGTAAGGCCCTTTGAAGAACGGAGCTAACACGTCAAAAGCCTTCCACAGAAAGGCCGTGCGCGACCGGCCTCAAGCATTTGTTCCTTCGGCTCTGCGGTCACGCTCCCAGGTCGTTAAGACCAATACTAATCCAATTTCCTTTTCAGGTTCCTCAAGAAAAACCCTTCCACGGTGTGGGCAGCCGGGAAGTGACATCAGCCCTCATACCCGTAACAGCACACGAGACCAAGTTGGTCACATTCAAATCCTTCCTACACCTCCTAATACCTCTCTTATTTCCATGACCAACCCTCCTCACGTCTCTTTATCACCTCGCACCGCTAGTGCAAACGATTCGAGTACGTGGAACGCTATTCCTGGTCTCCTGAAACCACGCTCTAAACTACACGTAGGAGCTTTCAACGTACGAACACTGTGCCGAATAGGACAGCAGGCGTAGCATCATTCATTTGACCTCACCATGCCAAAATAAAGAACCGACTCGATTTACGCTTCGTGTATCTGGAAGCCCTGATTCTGCTTCACGTGGCCTCGCCGGCGTAGGTATAGCATTGAGTACCAGAGCAGAACTAGCTCTCTAAGAGTGGATCCCAGTAAACAGTCGTTTGTGCGCTGTCCGACTGAACGGAACAGTAAGAATCCGGAAAGATAGGGACACTCGTCGTTGCCTCTTCGTCGTCTCTGCCTATTCTCCCACTGACTGCAGCTCAGATGATGTAAAAGATGAGTTTTACAGAAAGCTTTCGGACCTTCTCCAAAAAGCTAAGCGTTCGGATGTAGTAATAGTGGCCGGTGACTTTAATGCTCAAGTAGGTAAACTAAGCGATAGGGAAAGACACCTAGGTGGATCTTATGGTGTCGTGGCTCAAAGAACAGATAATGGCGACCGTCTGTTGCAGCTATGCTCAGATAACCGCCTGTTCCTTACAAATACTAACTTTAAGCATAAGGAAAAACATCTTTTAACATGGCGACCCCCTAATTCGTCCCAACGTTGGACCCAAATAGATCACATCACTATCAGCCACCGATGGAGGGGCTCGATAGAAGACTGTCGCTCATTCTGGAGTACATGCTTAGATTCAGATCATGCTCTAGTGCGAGCGCGTATTTGCTTGCGTCTTACTGGACGTAGGAAAGACGCTGCAAGGAAACCTCTTAGGGGCCTACTTAATGATAGTCAAGCTAAGAGTATATTTCAGGAACAACTAGGAAAACAGTTAGGCAGCCATGTATGTGATGCCCACCCCGATGCAGCATGGAACGATATCCGAAAAGCTGTGGAAACAGCAGTGATATCTGCTAGTAAGGTAAACCAGAAGGTTAGGGAGCAACACTGGATCTCAGCAGCATCTATCGCACTGATAGATGCTCGGAAACTCATTCCACCCGGCTCTGAACATAATGAAGAGCGGAGTCAGCTTAAGCGCAAGCTGACAAGAAGTCTACGCAATGATTGCGAACAGTGGTGGGTAGCGAAAGCAAGAGAGATGGAAAAGGCAGCGGCAATAGGTAATAGCAGACAATTGTTCAGACTCGTTAAGGAAACCGGAATTAGGAACCCGACCGTTAGCGAAACAATCTCAGAGAAAGATGGACATATTATACATTCTCAATCCAGGAGATTGGATCGACGGGCAGAACACTTTAGGGATCAGTTCAACTGGCCTTCAGCCACACTTCGGTTTCCCACGATCTCTAGTCAACCTGAATGGCAAGTTAATGTAAGTCCTCCGTCCCTTTACGAAGTTGAAAAAGCCATAGGAAATCTGAAACGAGGGAGAGCAGCAGGCTCTGACAGGTTTACTACTGAGATTTTTAAGGATAGTGGTCCAGTATTAGCAATGAGATTAACCGAGGTCTTAGGTAGAATTTGGGAACTGGACGTAATCCCATCTGACTGGTCTCAATCACTGATTGTGCCAGTCTATAAGAAAGGACAAAATCCTCTTGTGACAATCACAGAGGGATCAGTTTGACTAATATAGTGTCTAAAATATTAGCTTCAATAATACTTCGACGCCTAACTAAAGCTCGTGAAGAGCAGATTAGAGAAAACCAGGCCGGTTTTCGACCTGGACGTGGTTGTATAGATCAGATATTCACACTACGTCAGGTTCTAGAACACAGACACCCATTCAGACGCCCCACAATCGTAGTATTTCTGGACCTTAAGGCGGCATTCGACTCTGTTGATCGTAAGGTTCTATGGCAGTGTTTGTCACTGAAAGGAGTACCAAAGAAGTACATTAACCTTATAAAGGCTCTCTACTCGAACACAACTGGTAGAGTGAGAGCTTATGGCGAACTGTCATCAGAATTGATTACCTCAAGTGTTGTTCGTCAGGGCTGTCCACTCTCTCCATTCTTGTTCAACTTTGTGGTCGACGTACTTTTAGAGATAACACTCTCCTCATCTAAATTTCCAGGGGTTGAACTTCTACCGGGAGGTTCACTTGTTGAATTAGAATATGCCGATGACATAGTTTTATTTGGTGAAGACGCTGAAAAATGCAGAGTCTTCTGACCACTCTAAGCAACAATGTAAGCATGTTCGGGATGCGATTCTCTCCCTCGAAATGCAAAATGTTGCTTCAGGATTGGGTTACATCGACACCCGAACTAGTGATAGGGAGTGAAGTAATTGTGTGTGTCGACCGCTTCACTTATCTTGGAAGTCTCATCAGCCCTTGTGGTCTGGTGTGTGACGAAATCTCAGCACGGATACAGAAGGCTCGACTAGCTTTTGCCAACTTGCGTCATTTATGGCGTAGGCGAGATATCCGTCTATCAACCAAAGGACGGGTTTACTGCGCAGCAGTTCTTTCCGTCCTACTTTATGACAGTGAAACTTGGCCGGTAAGAGTAGAAGATATCCGTTGGTTACTAGTATTCGATCATAGGTGTCTTCGAAACATTGCTCGTATATCATGGGACCATCGAGTAAGTAACACAGTTGTTAGGAAACGGGTACTAGGTAAGGATGGCAAATCAATTGATGAAGTAGTGAAACTTCACCAGTTGAGATGGCTGGGACACGTGTTACGTATGCCCAACGACCGACTACCTCGACGTGCTATGTTCAGTGGTATAGGAGTAGATTGGAAGAAAGCTAGGGGCGGCCAAACCAAAACATGGCACAAGTCCATGAAGTCACTGACAAGTGAACTGAGTCATGTAGGTAGGTGTAGACTACCTGGTTGGGGACCGCGAGATGATAGCAACCGATGGTTAGAGACCCTGAATGACATGGCTCAAAATCGTTTGCAATGGCTTAGGTGCATCCACTCTTTGTGTTCTCCCAAATTCTAATCTTCTGAATTCTTCATGTCCCTTTTTCCTCTTCCCAAATTTATTTCACTGGATTATACTCTTTAAACAACATCTCCAAACGCTAATCTTTCCGATTACTGCTTATACTCTTACTACCTCTACCACTACGGGATTTGAATCGACAAATGCATCTCTGTGCTAATGTGGTGTGGCAACTCGAACTGATGTACGTACGTACGAAGTTCTACATTGTGACTGACTGACTGTATCGTAAAGCTGTTTCAAATTCCCTTCCCTTGCAGCTTTTTCCGCCGTCGTTGCTAGTTCTTCCACGTACTTCTGCTTGTCGGCTCTAATGCTCTTGTTCACTTGCTTGTTTGCTTCTGTGCATTCAGCTTGTGCTTGGACTTTCTCTGCTCGTGTTCGGCTGTTGTTAATTGCTACCTTCTTGTTCTTCCTTGCTTTGAACCTGTCCAGTGTTTCTGTAGAGATCCATTCCTTATGATGGTATTTCTTTAGACCCAGAACTTCTTGACACGTTGAAGTTAATGCTTCCTTGATGCCTTTCCAGTTGTCCTCCATAGTAGTTTCTTCTTCCTTCAGTAAATCTTGTAGGGCTTGGAACCTGTTGTTGAGAGCTATCTTGAATTCATTGAGTTTGTTAGTATCTCGAAGGAAGGCTGTATTGAACCTTTGTAGTACTGTTTGTCCAGTTCTTCTTTAGCTTCAGTTTTAAATTGGCCACATCTAGGTGGTGATTTGAAGCTATGGCAGCTCCTCTCCTGGTTCTCACATCTTCCATTGTCCTTCGGAATTTTTTATTGATGCAAATGTAATCTATCTGGTTCTCTGTGGTGTGCTCCGTTGAGATCCATGTAGCTTTGTGTATACTTTTGTGTGGAAATATTTTGCCGCCTATGACCTATTTGTTGAATGCATATAGATTTGCAAATCTTTCTCCATTCCCGTTTCTCTGTCCCAGTCCATGTCGTCCCATGATATCTTCGTATCCGATGTTGTCTATTCCGACTTTGGCATTTAGATCTCCCATCAGAATGGTGAGGTCGTTTCTTGGGCACTTCTCTATGATTGATTGCAGCCGCTCATAGAATTGATTTTAATGTCGTCGTTGCTATCATTGGTGGGTGCATAACATTGGATAATATTGATTGTGATCCCCTCCTTCTTTGTTTTGAATGATGCTTTGATGATTCTGGAACGGTGAGATTTCCATCCTACAAGTGCATTTCGTGTTTCTTTGGACAGCATTAGAGCAACTCCCTGAGTGTGTGGAGCATTTTCCTCTTCGTGACCGGAGTATAGCAGCATCTCTCCCGTATTTAGCCTTTGTTTTCCAGCTTGGGTCCAATGAGTTTCGCTGATTATCAGTACTGCCAAGTTGCATCTCCTCATTTCCCTTGCTATTTGACTGGTCTTCCTTGTCTCCCACATTGTCTAGACGTTCCATGTACCTGTAAAAATTGTTGCTCTGGTTGTTAGAAGGGGCATCGGCCTCGTGGCTTCCGAAGGAGTTTGGCTTTCACCTTGAGACGTTATAGTTCTAAATGAAGACTTAACTTCCAGGGCAGAGTTTTAATGGTTTGAATTATTTTTTCTGGTTAGCGTCTTTTAGTGAGTTAGTTTTCTACAGGATGGGGACGCTAACCCCATGCCCAACCCTCCTCCTTTAACCGGGCTTGGGACCGGCAGTAACTCTACAGGAGCTACAGGCGGATTTCTCATACTTTGATATTCATTCCATTTGAAGATTTCTGTCTTCAATATGTTAGTTTCTCTTTTTGTTGTCCTGGTGTGAAGTGTAGCAACTCAAACCGATATACATTCGTGCTAGGTTCTGCTTCGATGGTGATTGACTTTCTAGTGTTAATTCTTCATATTCATGTATCTACCGACAAGTATTTAATTTTGTTTATGAGTTTACCAATGTGACATGCGTGATCTAACGTTCCACAAACGAATGTAGGTTTGCTCTGCACTGAACAAAGCAATTATTATTTTTTGACTTGAAGTGTAAAACTACTTTTAATACCGTCATTATTATTGTAGGCATTTAATTGTAAAACCCTCTCCATCATTGGCCATGTGTACAAGTATAGTGGCTACACAGTCACAAGTTGACGATAGTAATTCTATACATAGTCTTTATCAGAAGATTATAACACTTTCCAACAGTATGGTCACAGAAGCGGAAGAGTTTTTAGTTGCTGCATATCGAAAACATGCCTATACAAAAGTTCGTGAATTCACACAATTTATCAGCCAACTTCATAATGCTGACGTATTTCTAACTGTCCGTGTTGAAATGCTTCATTGGCAGTTGATTGTTTCACAACATGAGTAAGTATTATTGATGATATCTTTTTTATTACTCATACCGTAAAATCAAAGTTTGAATTTGGATTATAAATGTTTCCGGGTTAATAAAGTATTCACCTTATATAACCATAATTCACTCTCGTTTATTTGCTTTGAAAATGTGACCTTTAGACGACAACGTGATGCATACTGATTTGTTACGTACAACAGTAATAAAAAGTGGTCATACTTGAGAGTATTGGTTGAGAATTATAGTATGGATTACTACCTCTGATAAAAGTTTTTAATCCGAATATAACCCTAATTAGTGAAATAGTCTATCAAATGCTAATGAAGATAGCGTTCTCAAACATCCGTTCTTTTTAGTGACAGAACAGAAAGTGAGGACAAGATTATGTGATTCTATCATTTGTAGTTATATTCTCAATTTTTCAACACTTCTTTATTGTATATGAATGACAAAGGAGCAAAGCAGTTTTTGAAACAATCACTTTCAAACTTCGTCCCACCTATTTCAGTGTGGATAACTGGGTACTGTCATTAGTCTTCACACTACGTGACTTGAAGCGGAATACATGAGATCGTACTTGCATACTAAACTGCATCAAAAAGTTATTGTGAATAGTTACGTTTTGTGTATTTTTAGACCATTACGTTACATTAAACATATAGCTTCATAATCTTGGTGTCACTGAACAGGTTAAATGATTTCTATTTCTTGTGATAGTTCATTAATATCCGTAAGATTTACCCAAATTTCAAACGCAAGAAGTCCTCTTTTGCACTTCTTTTCTCTTGAGGAAGTAGGAGGAATTGTAATTTATTGTGATATATTTTAATCCATGGTAGGGTAGACTTAATATCAAAACCATGTTACGTTGGTACCAGGTATAAGATTATAAATACAATTTCCGTTACTTAAACTATTATCATCCGTCATATTCCACAAAATATGTGCGAAACTCGTGAAGAGCTTACTCGCGACAAGTAGAATGCCTTTCTTTCCGATTGTGAATGCTTTTATCACCTCCACTCTCTGGCATACGTTCGGACACCACCACATTTATTACAGAACAATAATCGTTTCTTGATACCAAAGGTGCCTTCAGTTCGTTAGATATGGCTTTTCTGGGATTGTCTGTTCAAGGAGTGGTTGAGGAGCTTATGATAAATCTGTATACAAATGCCTCAGACATACTAAGGGCATACAATCATCTCCCTACATTGTCCCATCTGAATAGTAGAGTTAGATGGTGTTGTCATCTCTTACTATTCCTCTTCAACTTTTCCATCGAGGGTGTATTAGAAACAGATATGAAGGAAGTGTGTGGATTTGTCATCTGGAGAAAAACATTGTCTGACTGCACGATAGTGCATAAGCTGTCCAAACCTCATTTAATCAGCTCTCAATCAATGTTCGTAAGTGCAGCATATAGTTTTCACCTTCAAAACATTAAGTACTTGTACAAAACCAGCAGGAGTCTTTGTGTTCAATAGTTCGTGCATCTGGATAGTTGTACGATAGCTAGTAGTGTCGTAACTGACGATATCAGTGCACATATACTGAAAGCCAAAGCGGCGTATGTCAATGTAGGCCACTTTTGGCGCCATCGTGATGTTAATCTGACTATAAAAGGTTTGGTAAGAACAGATCTATGGTACACTCGTAAAACCTGGCTTTTTCAGGTTGAGAATGTTCAATGTCTCACCATGTTCAGTGGTCTTTTTCTCCAAAGGATTCCTGAGACCTGGTGGCAACACCATTTTAGTGGTGCTGAGTTTCGGTAATATGTTTCACTCAATGACGATAACTCAGTTGATGTGATAGTTTGAAACACTAGATTCCATAGCTTGGATATGGTTTACGAATATCATCCCATTAACTTCTACTTAATGAATTATTTACCGACGCTCGAACTAGGTGAAGAGACGAGAAGATGGTCAGTTGATGATATGTCACCATGATATAGGAAATAAATATGGAACTGGAACCTGCTAGTTCACCACGACCCTCTGTGTGAGTCCTTTAGAATCGTCCGAATTATTGGGCTAAGTGCATTATTAGATATGACTCAGAATAGAATCCGACTATGATTCCGCTGTAGTTTTATTTTACATTCATAAAAATAAGGTAAACTTGCTTAACCCAAAGAAAACTTTCGTGATCGTTTTTGGACACTATTCTTGCTCATTTATTGAGTGTACTACCCTTCCATTATTTCGTCACAATATTATTAATTCATTTGTGTGGCGGATTTTTTTCGTGTCCTATTGTACCAAAATCTGTTTTAAATAGATAAATCATCTGTTTTTTATATAGATTTTTACACAATGTTGGCTTAAATTTTGTCTTTTACTTTCAGCTTTGATACACTTCTTGAGCAACTCGGTCAGGCTCAAATTAGTATTGATAATGGTAAGTAGATAAAACTTGCTTATTAGACATGCCAATTGATTTTCTTATGAACACTTTTCAAGTGTCTATTTGTATGAGTCTAATTGTTTATACTGTTTTTCCATAACCTCTTAGTTACAAAACAACTTCCGATGATTGTTGATTGCCGGGACTTTTCAGTCACACCGAACTTTGATCAGTAAGTGAAGTATTTTACGGGATTTCTAACTCACTTTTTATTAGATATGAACGAGTTGAAAACGTTCGATTGTCATTTGACCATTTGGTAAGCTAACTATTCTTCCTATTTATTCATAAACCTTTGTTTTCCTGACTGTTTGTCTTTTCGAGCCATTTTCAAATAATTACTTTCCAGCATTTATTTCCTATTAATGCCAGTTAGATCCCTTCATTAACATTCCATCTAGTATATAATGTCAAAAATCAGTAGTTATCAATCTTTTAATCAGTTAATTTCACTAATGTACACATCTGTTCACTGTTGTCGAAAATATCTAATTTTCTGGCTTACTATAATAATTGACAATTTTTAATGGGTTTTGAATATCCATTTTGTGATATGTTAAGATTAACTCTTTTTAATCTTCTTCACTCGGCTCAATTGCGCTAGTTCACACCTTGACCATTGCATATTTCCTTTTCTCTTCCAAGTCCATTGACTTGTGATTATAGTTTTTCTGTGGCCATATTTATTTCTTCTTTAAGACAATCAAATCTACCTTCAAGGGACTCCCTACAGCAGGACTGTGTTGTTTTAATTATTCATTTGGCGTTCATTTCTCGCTTTAATCACACCCCACTTTGTGGCTCCTTGCGTATCATCGTCAGAACATAAATGTGTAAATTTTGAACAATTCCGAAAATTCTTTTACTTACTTCACTATATGATGTTGGTAATCATCGTTTAGTTTCTGTATTTTTTGAATTAATAGTCTGGTGAAATTTCATGCTTATCATTTAACCAATAATTATCACTCATATTTAGCATTATAAAACGTGCAAACTTGTTCTTATCCCTTTGTCTTACTATATCATGCTATTTCGCTGTTTCAACGTATCTCTTATTTCTGTATTTTTTTTCAGAAATCATGGTTAAATCTCCGTTGTTTAACTCTAAATGCTATTGTCTATGCAACTTCGCTTGTAATGTCAATTGTAAAAGTTGAACATTATATGATTTCCGAAAGTCAGCATGAAATTGCAGAGAACGTACCACCAGAATCTGTCAAAAGTTTAAACAGTCTGTTGTCGACAATGAATGATCTCGATTCACAGACCAAAGAACCATCTACGAGAGAATTAAGCAATTTTAAATTACTAGTTCGTTTTGTTTCGTGAATGTCATATCGTTAGACTTTTTTGTTGCTATGTTTAATTTTGGTTAGTTCAGCTAAATGACAATTTTATCACGCTACACACTAGCTCCTGTAAACACAATTTGTAGTGTATGTGAACTGTTTAGTAAATATTTATGTTGGATAGGAATTCAGCATTACTAACATATTACACAGTACAAAAAATCGTACATTTCATCATGCTATTCTCATTTTTCCTTATCAACCTTTCAGTTTACGAATATTGTGTTAGAGTTTAAAGATAGTCTTTGTACATGCTACGTTTGAAAAGATTACGATATCAACTAGTGTCAGTCAGTCAGCTACAACGTAGGACCAGGCACATATTTGCATCTGTCCAAGTCTCCATACCTCATTAACACAACAAGATGAACAACGAATTCATAAAAGTAGTTAATTCAGAGATGGTAACATATAAAAGAAAGATTGGATATAAGGACATAGTACAGGAATAAAGAATTAGTCCATAGAAAGAAAGATATGAAGCGATTTTATTCTCTTAGCTTAAGGGATGACAGAGAGTGCATACACCTACACAATTGTGATTGATTCTAAGCCATGTCACCCAGAGTCTCCAACCATTGGTTACGATAGTTACGCAGACCACAACCAAATAGTCTGCATTCACCAACATGGCTGAGACTAGACGTTAGTGACTTCAAGCACTGATGCCATGTTTTGGTTTGGCCGCCCCTAAGATATCAACCAAAACCGGCAAAGGGAATGAAAGTCTAGCATCCCTAACAGTACAACGACTGTACGTCTGTCCACTGGTCTTTGATTGTTTTAGGGCAGATATCGTATTGTGTAATCCCCAAAGAAATGAATATGGTCACGTTTCCTAAAATATCGACCCAATCCCTTATAACTGGAACTCAGGATCACTAAACCAAAGAACTTAAGTTTAAAATATCAATTTATCGACTAAATCTTTACTGTGCTGTAAACATATTCACTATCCGTGAACGTGTTCTTTAATCTGAAGATCACGTTCTAATCCAGTCGAATATGCCTGATGATATAAAGTTGTATTGAGGGCTTGAATAAACGTACTGAATGTTTTTCACTCTAACACAGTCGAATCCGACCCCGTGACCGACTCTCATCTGAACTGGTTATGTTGAGTGGTGTTCATCAGTCTGTGTGCTTCCCTATTTTTATTTAATTTGTCATAGATAATCTCACAGTGTTGGAATAATTTTTTCCGGATTAGTTTAAAGTACTAATGTTGGTCAAACCAAGACATTCTACCATTAATGATTGGTCCGAGCCATGTCGGCAGGTAGACACTTTAGTCAGCATTCTCCAGATAACTAAACTACTGTTAAGTACTTTGAGTAAATCAGTCGTATTAGTTCACAAACATTCATCAATCAGCTTCCTGAAAGTTTTGAACATATTATTCAAAAGTTGTTACCTGTTTTATGCTGTTGGTATTTTTACATACACTTTTGGTTTTTCTCCTGATTTTGTCTTGATGTACTGGTATGATATGTGACTAATTGGAGAGGTTCATATTTACACTAATAGTTAATTATAAACAACAAAGCATGTGGCACAAGTATGAATCGACCTTAGTTGCTTCTTAGATCAGAATAATCAAGAAGAAATTAACTAGATGAAAAGCAGCATAGTATTCAGAAATGGGATTAGAAGAAAAGTTTGAGATGATTTACTGGTCAAAATTTAGAGGAAGATTAACAGTAAATGCATTTAAGCCACTATGACGTACTCTGAGCTAGGTCATACGTTTATGTCTATTGGCCTAAAACAAAGATGTAATTCATAGGTAATACTGAAATAAAAATTTATTAGAGTTTCATATATGATTCCTCCCATTGTTGTCCCTTTACAAGAGTCACTTTATGTTGTCCCTATTTCTTTCCTCTATTAGTCATGGAGTGTTATGGTAAAACGTGATCAAATACTCAAAACATTCCCTGATTTGCCAGATGTATCATGCGCTTCATTATATTGCTACGGACCATACCGAAGGGTTTTATCTATCGGTATTGAACTTATATTGGGACTTCATGGCCTGGTTTCCGAAAACTCTTGTAAGTCACAATAGTTTCATTGCAAAATTGAGAACAGTTCCGTTAATTTGTTACTAATAAATAAACTTTATTAAAACTGTTCTTCATGTTTGTTACATTTAGCTGCTTTTACTAAGAAATCTATGGACTATCTTCTTCGGTCCTTGTATGAATCCTTTTTGTCTGGACAGCTTACTTCTGAAGATACAGACATACCAAAGGTTTATCCAGCTATAAATACTTCTTTACTGTCTTCGCCAAAAGATGATCATTTGCCTAACGGGATTTCTAGTGATAACGATTTTGTTCATCCTGGTGGTGTTTTATTAATCCTGACAATGTTTTATGAAAGTATTTCTTTGGCAACTTTGCTAGTATCAATGATTCAAAGTGCCTTACGTCCTAGGAGGTAAATTTAAACACATATTATTTATCCTTACATGAAACAAATCATTCTTTAATACACGAATTATACTTATATGTCACATAATTTTACTGGTTTTAAATCTGCAATATGCATCAACCCCGAGTGTAGATAACATATTATCACAGTTATCATCTTAGTTATCCTGAAGGTTCAACCGAACATTTTATCTGATGACTTCACCAATGGTAAGTAGGTCAATTAAAGAGTAGTTAGACTACGAGTAAATTTCAAATTTCTAAACGAGACTACATCAAATTTCTTCCAACGAGTGATCAACATTTCTTACAATGGAGTAATGGATTATAGAAGGTCATTTTCCAAATCGATTTTCGCTACTGAAATTATGGTTTAAAATGAGCGAAGTCAACAAATTGTATCTTCAGGTGTCACTCACTCAAGTAAAAAGTATCGTGATTATTAGCTTAGTTTCTTGTTTAAATTTCTTAAAATTAAATTCTTCATTACATAATTTAGTGTTAATTATAATCATATAATCTGCGTCAGTTGCAACAATCCTGTTCTGTATTCATAGTCTTTATCTAAGCTCTCACTGATTACGGTCTCAACAAACGAATGTTCGAGCATAAGCTTTCTGGCTTTCTTCCATAATTTCTAATCTAATAATAAAAGTAACTGGTGATCGTAGACTTAGCGAATCGGATATACAGTTATGTAAAGCTTTCAACATTTTGGTCAAGCAAGCGAATAAAAGTAATAGTCTGGCGCGACTGCAGTTTGAAGACTGTTCATTTCCTGAAGGTAATCTTTTTGATGACCTTTAGTGGTATGACTCAAAATCAGTAGCATTGATACAATGCATTCCTCCTTTCTCTTTCCATAAACCTTGAACCCTATATTATCGTTGATATTTTAAATTCTCAATTTGATTTCATCCTTCTAAAGTACACTTTATACGTTTGTTTGTCTACTTTCGTATGTCATGTCATTTGCATTCCCTTTTTTTATCTTGTTAATGCCTTCTTATTTCATTGATATGATGGAACATTTTCTAAGTTTTTTACATAATTTATTATTGGTCTTATTTCGAAAATATTGTGAAATCTCATTCATCTTCGTTTCACAATTTTATTTCACAATAATTTTACTTCATGTAGCAAAGTATACAAATTTTCCACCTTACTTTGCACTACTAGTTAATTCAGTTTCATGTAACCAAAGTCAAATATATTATTACTCATATCCACCTATAATATCATTTGTTAAGCTCTTAGATTTTTACAATTTACTATTATCAGTGTATTTTTTAATGATAATGATTACTTAAATGTAGTTTGTGAAGCTATAAATATTTATCATATCTGAACTGCGTTTATATCAAATAATATGGATTGTGTTAGTCTAAATCTTAATAAATGCTCCTGAAATATGCTTTTATGAATAATTGTAATTTTCAACGGTGCGTTATACTCTGTTTTTCATTCTATTTTAGCCATTATCATCATGAAATAAATAAATATCAAAAGAGAAAGAATAAAAAAGATAAAGTAATAAACGCTAATTCAAATTATTCTCCAATTCTCAGTTTGTTAGACAATTTCGCTGTTGGTTTATACTATACTACAACGAAATTGGTAACTATTACTGATCAACTGGTAGAGGTTACCGATTGTTGGTCTACTTGGTGTCATGATGTTTCATGTAAAGAATTTCAATTGATTGCTTCAAATGCCTGTACACATGTGCTGTCTGAAGATTTCTTAGTACAGGTTGTGAAATTGTTTTTTTTAAAATATTATTTACAGTATATCATAGTGTGAGTTGTTTAGTAATCATTAAATTCTAATTAAATTATATGTTTTCGAATTGAGCAATAGCACAAATAATCATAGATTATAGGGGACAAATCTTGGTTGGTTCCTGTATGCAGAGACTTATTCACAGTTGACTGCTATTTCAAATATCAGTTTATATTTATGATACCGAACGATAAAGATAATACTTCCCTGAAAAACATAAATTTTATTGCCGTTTCTCCGTTCTCCAGTAAATATGTACTCTGATTATAGGGTTTAGTTCAATATTTATTTTATCCGGCGATGATGTTTGTCGATTTACACAGAAGCTAAGAATTAATATTGATCAGGCATCCGATTTCAATTTGCTTAAACATATGATCGTAATTTAATAAAATGGTAGATAAATCATTAGTCTAATTCACTTTTATCAATAATTAATAATAAAAAAAGAGGAAGTCGATTTTCACATTTTGCTTTTGTTTTGTGTTGAAATGCAATTTTTTAGATTTAATCGTGAATAATTTTTATGACATTTCATACCTTACGTCTGATATCTACAGAAATATATGTGAATAATTAAGTATCATATTAAATATGTTGTTTGTTATTGTGCGTATTTTTTAGTATCCTGTACTAAAACCACCTAATTGTGCTTTTGAAGAGCTCAGTAACGTCTACGAGAAAAGTTTCAACCGAATCGCAGCTGGTCTTCGTGTAAAATCGTCTTGTCTTCAAAATATAACAACTGAATTAGCCGTGTATCAGTCTAGAACTCATGAAATAGTGTCTGTTCAGAATTCAAATTCTTCACCTTAATGAATTAATATTTCAACCTGGTCAATATCCTTTATTTTTAGCAAAAGTTTTGTATCTGAGATGTGTCTTGTTGCTGAAACTGTGCATTTGTAATCTGTGACTTGTAATTTCTCTAACAGTTGTATTAATTTCAATAGTAGTATGCTGGAGAAAAAGAAATAAAAATATACATATTTTTAGGTTACTATTCTTTGTCTTTTTTGTCACTCATTTTTCCGAACGTAATTTTGTTTGATTTTTTACTGAGGCTTGTCAAATTTAATTTGCATTTTTTAACTATATTTTTCTACAAACCAGTATACTTTTATGTGTATAATACCTAGTCTTGAAATATTATCTGTACAAATCATTATCTTCCTAAACTGCACAACAAATTCTATAAGAAGTCTATAATGTTTCATCATTTTTGCCATTGATGTGATTTGATTACTTGATTAAGATGCAAAACTTTTAGGTCAATGACCAGAATAGATTGTGAAAATTGCTTGACAATAACGGTTTAGGAAAGTGTTAACTCATACTATAAAAAGCTTATAAATGCTTTTATAAGTATTAATTCCTATGTCACAAAAATCAGAAATAGTAATGTAAATCGGTTTGCGAATATTTATTCGTATATTTGATTTTAAACGAAAATTTCTATGTGAAATGACGATGTTGTCTACATAGGTGAAACTTAGCTCTAGCCAATAACGTAGTAAATATAAAAATGGAGTGTTATATAACCACTAAGCCATTGTTTCAGTGGGAAAAATAATAATCATATAATTGACTAGTTATCCACTATATTTCATATCATCTGCCAAAATAATTTAATGTATTTTTGAATATAGCCATGCTCATTGAATTACAAGAAATATCAAGATCCAGATTTTTTCCCTTCATTATAAAATAGTAAACAGGTTATTCGTTTTAAAGTCAAATATTTTACTTTAAATTGTTTTTTTGTAACTGGTCTTGATCTATGTGTAGTGAGTCGTGTGCAACCGTTCTGTGTTCAGTTGTGCTAGCTAGTTAAAGAAGTACATGAGCATCATAGAGTCCATTCTCATAATTGAAATAATAAAAAGTAGCATGTCTCTTCAAGATTTCATAGCATTCAGTTTTTCCGTACTGGTGTATTTTATAGTTTAAATTCAATTACATAGCTTATAAACTTTGAGAATTAATTGCACATATCAATTCCTTGTGAATACTTCAGTTCCGATGGTTTCAAATCCGATTACTGGCTATCATTCGTTTGTTTATATTGACCTTATATTCACAGTTCATCAACAATACGATGTTCCGTTAATTTGTACCAATTAATAAATCTAAAGAAACAATATTTTAAACTAATCAGCAACTCATTGAGATTCTTTTGATGTTTTATTTCAAGTTGTGTAGCTCTGAGTAAATTAATGGACAAGGGTTTCATCTTATTTCTACTTAAATTTATTATCTCATGACGTGTCGTGATGCTGTGTATAACTAAAGTTAGCAGGATTATCTTTCTTTTCTGTTCTAGCTGTTATCATAATGCATCAAATAAATCTCATCATGACAGTTCCCCTAAGTTCCAGAGAACACCTTTAGTCACATCCTTAATATATATGATTTTGTTATATGTGTAGTAAATCATTTTAATTTTCTGTAACTGGTACTGAGATTGTTATAATTTCTATGGTGGTTTTCCTATTTTCTTTTGATGTTCAGGGTGTTCTTTTAGGTAAATTATTACACAACTGACGAACAAGGATAAATGGAAACATCGACAGCCGCCTCTACCTCGAAGTCAAATATACCTAAAAGCAACCCTGATAAGTCAAATCAAGCCAACACATCCGAGACCACTGATAGTAATGGGACAACAGGATCTTTTGAGTGTAATATATGTCTTGATTCAGCTCGAGATGCGGTAGTTAGCATGTGCGGCCATTTATTTTGTTGGCCATGTCTTCATCGTTGGCTTGAAACTTCTGAAACCCGCACGGTATGCCCTGTTTGCAAGGCTGCTATCAGTAGTGATAAAGTGAGTTCTATTTTTCTATTACAGTAACTTATTAAAGGTAATTTTATACGATAAGCAAATTTGCCGTTACTATAATGTTCTAAGTCATTTATATTCCTAAAATCTACACATTCTTATGTTTGGTAGTCTATTTTTTCTAAACACTATGCGTTTATTGATGCTTCGTATCAGTCGGCTACAACGTATCACCAGGCACATATTTGCATCAGTCTAAGTTACCATACCTCATTAACACAAGATGAACACCAGATTCATCAAAGTAGTTAAGTCAGTGGTGGTAATATATAAAAGAAAGATTGGATATAAGGACATAGTACAGGAAGAAAGAATTAGTCCGTAGAAAGAAAGACATGAAGCGATTTTATTCTCTTAGTTTAAGGGATGACAGAGAGTGCATACACCTACACAATTGTGATCGATTCTGAGCCATGTCACCCAGAGTCTCCAACCATTGGTTACGATAGTCTGCATTTACTAACATGGCTGAGACTAGACGTTAGTGACTTCAAACACTGATGCCATGTTTTGGTTTGGCCGTCCCTAACTTTCTTCCAACCATCCCCAACACCGGTTAGCATTGCACGTCGTGGTAATCAGTGTTCAGGCATACTTATCAGGTGGCCCAACCATCTCAGTCGATGAAGATTCACAACCTCAGCAACTGATTTAACATCCCTAATACCCTGAGTCGCATAAAAAAGACATTAAAATTAATCTTGGTATTTCAATTTCGAAATTTTATTCCTTTGTATATATATTTTGGAATCTATATCTTTTTGTTTAGCTTTTTTTCGCCCACTCATTCATTCTACTGGTTCTCCTGTTTATATCCAAATTGTTTGGTGCTTTCACGTATTTTAATATGAGCTTCAGAATAGCTTGAATATTTCTTTGAATAATCTACTTCTGAGCTGATAAAACTAGAACTCGACATGGGCCCATCCATATAAATTAATTTCACATTTAGAATCAAACTACTATTACGTTTTTCAGTAGCACAATAATACCTTCAGATCTCACTATAATCGAAAATTTTGTTTCATAAACTAAATAAATATTTCAAATTAATTCCAGTCACAAACAATATTAAAGTTTCCACCTATAATGTAAGTCCCACGTCGTTTGAAAAAAATTATAGTAACCAAATTCAGGCAATGTATATTCATCTATGTCGGCAACAACCAACACTAATCGTTTATATTTAATTAATCGGAATAGGTTAAAAGTCCCCGAACAGTTAGTCATTTGTCATCAGTCATCTCATCTATGGAAGCCTTGCGTAACATTTCCATGATCCTAATTGTGATTTCTCATTCCGTATTCTGTATTTCTGAGCTTCACTCGAAAATTCTATATTTTCCAGGTTTTACGTAATCTTTGCCACATATCTTCTATTTCGAAAGAAAATTATCTCCATGATATTTTAACTTTTATCTTATTGGTTATCTCTACAAGCGAGCGTTTAGACAATTCTTAATTCTCTTACAATTATTGTCTCTTATTCTCAGTTTTATTCAATACCTTTTTAATATGGTTTATACTTTTTTCGTTTTCAATAACTGTTTGTATGTTACAAGCCACTGAGTAGAATACATGATCCTTGTTCTTCCTTTACTCAAATATGAAAAATTGTACGGTAATATCCGTAATCAAATTACAATATTTTTATTAAATTTCCTTCATTAGGTCATCCCCCTTTATGGACGTGGTGCGGACCATACACAAGACCCTCGTACTAAAATTCCTCCCCGCCCAGCTGGTCGACGTACTGAACCAGAACCGGGGGTTGGAAGCTTTGGAAGTACATGGGGAGGATTGTTCGGTGGATCTGATGGAGGTAATTTCCGAATGTCTGTGGGCATTGGTGCATTTCCATTCGGTTTCTTGTCAACAACATTCAATTTAGGAGGTAATAGCAATCCTGCAAATTCACACAATGTTAATGGCGTCAGCAACCGAGCAATACCACCAGACAATTTTTGGGGAGCTGATTCAGAAACAATGTCAAAGATATGTTTATTTATTGCTATATTTTTTATTGGTTGGTTATTAATTGCGTGAATAATTTTTCATAATAATGTGATAAACTACTTCATTTCTATTGTCGCTTGTTTAATTTATAATTTATTTTGAGCGCTTTTTTCCCCAATGCAAATCGACATTTTCATTTTTGATAACTGTTTACTAGTTAATTGAATATAATTTGAATGATTTTTCAGTACTGTTAACTATATCTGAATAACATCCAATTGAATACCGAATTTTATTCATGTATCTTAAAGCGTTATGCATCATGATAAAAGTCTTACAAAAATTCTTGTCGTCACTGCTAGTGTATAATGTTTCTCAAACTTTTAATTTCGTTTTTGTTGAAATTTCATTTCTGTTCTCAGCTTTATTTCTCCACCTTCTTATTTATTTTTTTTACATATAATATGATTGTTGATATACTAGATTATTTGTCAAATTTTACTGTATGTAATCGTATGTGTAATTCAATATTTCTTCATTACACTCTTATTAACCTTGTAAAATAATGATTTCATACGTTTGATAGAAAACAATTCTATTGTATGATTTGCGTACTACACTATCAATGATTAACGGAGCTTTGGTTGGTTTTAACAATATTTGGACCATATTCGACTTAAATATGTTTATATTTATTGCAATACGTACAAGTATTATGGGAGATTTTACTTGATACTAAACTACATTGAGTAACAATTTCAATCCTGTTGGAATTATTCATTTTTCTGTGAGTACTAATGACTGTTTATAGCATTAGACTTATTCAATACTTATTAATTGTTATTTTCTACTTACATATAACATAAGTGTAATTGTATTCTAATTTCTGTTATGTCTATGGTTTGTATATCACGATGTGTTAATAAATTATTTCATACGATCAGTTCTTCTTGTCTGAATGCTCTTCTCTATGGCTCATCACTTTTAAAATTTACTATGACAAAGGGTAGAATAAATTTGCACCTGTAGCATCCACAATATCCTCACTATGCAGAGATTCGCTTTATGCTCTTATGGACTCTTCTGCGATACCAGTTGTTCATTTTCATCATTACTTTTATCGCTGATTTCAAGTCATAGACTTAGATTACTCCATGTTTTTAGGTCCAGACTCACCAACTGGCTGAGGTTCGTACGATAATCATGATCAGTGTTTGGAAACACTGTGTGATATGCCTCAAAATCAGCCGTACCAACGTGATGCATTTACTCTTTATTTACCCACAGATCCTGAGTTTCAGAATTATTTTATTCCGCAAATTCGCCTTTTCTCGGATTATGTGCTCTATATCTAAACTGCTTTTTTATTATGGATACTACTAACTACACTTCTTTGATATTCATCTTTTTAGTTCCGTCTCTCTGTACTGATGTGGCATGACAACTTGAACCGATCTATATATGTGACAAGTTCTACGTTCATTGAGCTTGACTGGTAAAAAAACAACATATCTTGAGAAAGGATGTATTTCTGTGTATTGAAGATAGTGACAATGTGGAGTCTCTAGAACATCTTGAGTGACGATAGAGAAACATTCCTGGTGCGTTTCTTCTCAAATGTAATCGTCTGTTTCACGACTCATCGCAAGTACCTATTCTGACTATAGGCAACGAGTTCGAGAAATATCTTGATTATTCCTCTTAGAAAATCTGAGCTCTGAAGAGTTGGTAAAATGTCATTTTATATATCGGAAAACTGATGTCATAAAGTCTTTTAGAATCTAGTATTAGTATCACTTATAAGAAACCTTGAGAACTCGAAAGTCTTTAGAAGCTGGAAAGTCGGAAAACACTTCATCTAGTCAGGATTAGACGGGAAATCCCCAGTGTTCCGGAAAAGCAGTGGATCCTCATATTCCGTCTGGATGATTATTGATTTTGGCATGTTCCCGGCTTTCGAACACCAAGGTCAAATATAAATTTATAAATATCCTCGGTTTCTGGATCTAAATTAGTCATCGGTGCTTCTTGTCGTATTCTCTGTTCAAGCCCCAAGTCCGTCAGGTTTTTAATCATCATACAAATCGGTTAGACTGAAACTTCAAGTCATTGAGTTATAGACACACTCTAGGTTAGCCAAATATATCTAGGCCTTTATCCATCAAAACCAACCCAACTAAAATCATAAAAATCTTGACCTATGTTTTCATGGTTTAGCGTAAATGTTTGTACTGTTCATATTTGTATCTGAGTGTTATCGATTCAATGTTTATGCAAAAAAGGACAATCGATAAAACATATTTCATCTCTGTATTTAATGAATTTCCCAGTTAGTTGGGTGAATGTTTAACAGATTGAATCTTTGGTTCAATGTTAATGTTCTGATAGCTTGATTTCCAGCCTTGTTGGTGTAAACATATGGACAAGTGTACTCAATTTAGTCCTACTATATTAGGTACACAGGTAGCTGTTCAGTCAACAAAATAAATTGTACTTTCTTTTCGAGAAAAAAACTTAACATTACCATTCAAAGCATTTTTCCAGTGATGTGGTTTTGACATCTAGTCAAGAACAATGTAGAACCTGACCAATATACGAACCGGACGTAGTTTAACAGGTAGACTAACATCTCGCCTAGACTAGAGCGAAAGCGTCTACCACTGTCAGACGTCGTATGTATGTCTACCTCCAGATTCAGTCATTTTCAAGTTATCCCTGGATTTTTACGACGGCAGATCGGGCTTTCTAGGTAACTGAAAACTGGGTCGATCCGAAAGTGCAAATATGTTCAGTTGAAGTTGTACACCACTAACTGTTTATCCCAATCTCTATATAATAAAAAAGTGAAATTTCATCGCCGAAACCTAGTTTTGTTTATTACATATCTGTTGAGTCAATCGAAGAAATAATGAATGTACTTCCAACAGTGTTTGACACCAGTGATAACGAATTTGTTATAATTCATCAAACTGTCGAGTCGATAGTTTAATAGCGCATTTAGAAACCCGCCGAAGTGTGAAGAATATCGCGGTTCACATGGTCAAGTTTGTGTCGTAGTAATGAGTTTTTCATCAAAAATCTCGATTTCATTAACCATTCTTTCCAAGACGAATTTTTTCCTGCCAAAATTACGTAAAATTGCAACAAAACAACTAGGTCCTGCATAACAGTAAAACGTTTGTCAAGCTAAAAAAACAGTTCAAACAATGAAGTCTAAATATTTAAATTCTATATTATTATTCGTAACCAAAGCTGAATTGAATTAAATCTTGGTTAAAATACCCTTTTGGACATCCTGTATATATGTTAAGTATTTCAATCAAATCGACATTACTCATGCATGTTTGTTTCTTGTTAAGGTTCAATACTGTCTCAACAAGTAAATCCTATTGGTATTTCAAGATGACGTTGACTATTACGCAATAATGTAAGATTAATTTCTTTACCACTGACCTGGTATTTCTAATTTATTTCTAGACCCAATGGTACGTATCAAAAATCGATACCTCGTTTGTTTCATTTCGATTCAACCTCAAAATTCCAATTCATTTATACCAGGTTATCCTGGCTGCCAAAAGGAGGATACAGCGGCGATGCGCTTGAGCGAATCTGATTTATTAGCCATGATAAAACAAAACATCACCCTTACACACGGTTCACTTGGAGTCGGTAAATGTATGTCTCGCTTAAGAGTAATTCACTGGTGTCCTGCTTCCGGTTTATTGATTATACGTTGCCTTCGTAGCATGTCTGTTTACGTCCAAACAGCACTCTCTTTGGTTACTCACTTAGATCTCAGTAAGTCTAAAGAATTATTTTACTTTGAAAACTTATATATATATATATATATATATATATATATATATATATATCAGAAAGGGGTAAATGTTTCATAATATGTCATCAACTCTTTGAATCTTTAGCTAGTAATTATTAAGATACAAAGCATAAGGCATCATACATTACAATGTGCTACGGCGGAAAATATGATAAACCTTAACTAGCATCTGTAATTATTTCCCTCGATGCATAAACTGAATCTGAGAAAAACAAAATCTTATTTAAACTAGTTTATATATAAATAAATAAAACATTGAAATACGTTTTAATTTATTTAACAGATGGACAAAAAAGGAAATCGGTAATCGACATTTATCATACAAGCGGTACAGTCAGAGGCTGTCAAAAATTCCTAGTCATGTTTTACTCTCATAATTTATTCTCAAGACCAGAACAATTATTTCGAACAGCCTTGTCTATTGCCGTTGAACGAAATATGATTTCTCCATATCCACCATACATCAATGAAGAATCCTAATTTTCTATTTATTTAATTAACTACAGAGTATTATGGTAAAAGTCTTATCTGTTACATATTGATATAAAAATAAAATGTTATGATTATGTATCAAACGAAATTTAACTTCACAAAAAAAAGCTTAGACGTAGTTTTATTTTTAAAATATAGACTAACTTGGACGGGATTCAAATAAAATTATAATTGACACTTTAGAAAAGGAAATGCTGGTTGATTACGATGAATAGTAGCACAGAGTGTGAAATTTAAAGTCTGTCATTGAAAAAGCCACCATTAGTAAAACCATTTTAGATTATGAGCGGATTCAAATATTAATTAATTCAGTACTTGTATCTCGGTAAACACTGGTTCATATCACTAGACAATAGGTTTTACGTGATGTGTACCATAAACGAGATTTAAGACAAATGACAACAGAATCCAATAATTTGAATCGAATTTTCATTTCGTAAGTACTTTAATTTCCAGAGAAACAATCAACTATGTAAACTGATCGATACTAAAGCTCTTTTTTACAACGTATCCAGTAAGTCCTAAATAATCTGAAGATTTATGTTTTTAAAAGGTAAGAAAGGGTATACATGATATCAGTTATGTATGTACGCACAAAACTCAATGCATTACCGAATTATAAGATAATACTGTAAAATGATTAAAAGAAAAACTTGTGTTGAAGTGCTTGATATTATATACTGAAATTAAAAAGCATTTGTATTCTCAAAATGAATAATGGTAACAATAAAAAAAACATTGACAGGACAATAGGGTGTAAAACGTTAAGTAGGTGTACATATATCAAGAAATACAAGGGGCGCTTCTATAGGAGATAATAAACTAAGTCTTGCTCACGTTAAATACTAGTTTAAATAATATCTGTGGAATTAAGAATGAAAAATAACTTATTGCTATATAGAAACACAATTCGTGAACAATAAAAGTGAGGTCGTTCAAAAAAAGAAACATTTACAAGTTAAAATATGAAATAGTTTTAGATAAGCATGCATAAACACAAACAAAACTAATTGTACAGAAAACTTCGTTGTGAACCAAAAAACCTGACAGGTAGATAAAAACATTGGGTACTTGACTTCATAGAATCAATACGTTAGAGTATATGTTTACCAATAGAAAATTCATCTGAGCATCATTTACAATTGTTTACACATCAAAAGTCAAGTTAAGGAAAAACGGTATTCACTTGTTTCTGCAAAATCAGCATGCAGAAAATATAACGAAATAAATGTGACACAGCCCTACATAGACACTCAAAGTTGTGAACCGAAATCACAGATTTAGTAAACAACAGAATACATAAACAGCAAGAGAATAGATATTATTGATGAGTGTAGAACAGTTACAAGACAGTAAAGAAATCGAAGCTAATGAAGCATAAAAACGAAGCGAATTATCTTACGGATTCGGAGTAATAAAAATACATGTTGGGGTGCCTGTAAGTAAACTGGTAGGAGAAACACCATCAGCTGTAGCTACAAATTCCGGCTGAAGATTAGCTTGTGCTGGATGGAAGCTGGTAGGGAGATCGGTGCCTGAAACAGTCGTATTAGCGGGTAACTGAGTGGGAGCTATCATAGGAGCGAAAAATGCGCCAGCTTGATTAGCAGTCAGGCCGTCCGGAGAACAGGCTATAGCAGTGAAATAGGGCGAAGTTTGAGAATGGTGAAATCCGGAAGGATATGTTTGAACTGGTTGGGGAAAAAGTGAAGCACGGATAGTGTAACAATTCGGCATGGTCGGTGTTGTGATGCACGTCGATGATATCACATTGTTCATGGAAGTACCATGCACACATTCTGTGCTCATTTCATTTTGATGCTGTGATGGGATGGTAGATAATAACGCAAAGCTTGGGGAGACTGAAGAAACAGATTGGTTCTGCGATACCACTATATTACCTTCAGTTGAAGAATTAGAAATACAGCTCGACAGTGGTGTCGATGACACTGCCAAAAAGTGACCATGAGGTTGTGTAGCAAATGTTCCGGTGGCAAGATTGAAAGTGTTTGCAATCTCAGTGTTAACTTGACTCAAAATAGGAACTGCGGAGAGTGACATAGAAGGCAAAGCTGCAAAGACTAATTGCGAGTGGGGCGATATGACACTGGAACCACCTAAACCTGTAGCACTAGGGAAAGCATGTAAAGTAAGCTGCCCGGGATGAGAATCACAAGTAGCGAGAAGTAATCTTTGTTCTGGGACAGGTTGATTAACACTGATTCCATCGTTAAGTACACTTACTTTTTCCACACTTATAGGATTAGACTGAAAAGTAGAGCTATCTGCCAGATCTATTTTCAGTTTACGAGGATTTTTAGCTGTGTCGTAACATTTTGTCGCTTGTGAGACGCTACGTTTCTCGCCACAGTTTGTCTTAGGATCAGAGGTCGAAGTTATTGGACTTTTAGTTACATTCACTTTCAAGTCACAGTTAGGAAGTTTTTGATTACTCTTTTGATGCACTTTTGTATGACGCTTACGTTCATCAGAACGAGCAAAACTGCGACCACATATATCGCAAACGAATGGTCGTTCGCCAGTGTGTGTTCTCATGTGTGTAGTTAGATGATCTGAACGCGAAAATTCCCTTTGACATTCAGCACACTTAAAAGGTTTAGCACCAGTGTGAATTCTTGCATGTCTTGTAAGTTCATCGGATCGTGAGAAGCATTTGTTACATGAAGTGCATTTGTGAGGCTTTTCTGATATTCTTTCAGGTATACTAGATGTTATTCCTGCCTGAATTTCTATTTCAGAATGAACTCCATATTCTCCTCTAACTATTCGACTCTTATTACGAGTTGTCGATTTGCGCCTCCTTGAGATACCAGCACCTTTCAGCGTGGATTTAGATAAATACTCATTATCACCAACGTCATCTTCAGTGACAACCGTTGTATCAGGTGCACATTCAGGAGGATTATTTATAACGGATTTATGTGTTGTATTGATTAAACCATCATCAACTGTTACTGTGTCAGTGAAGCACATATGTTCTTGCTTGACTATAGTATCCGCTGTAACAGAAGTCTGTGCGAAACTCCCACCGATGGAAATATTAGCTGCTTCCGCATTACCACTTGCCAATAGGTTAGGAACGGGGGATAGAAATGAAAACGTACCTGTCGGATTAGCTAGACCAGTTAACACTCCAGGTGTATAAAAACCTCCGGGACCAGGGGATGCAAGAAGTGGCAAGAAAGCAGTGTTGGGAGTTGTAGGTGTTAGAAGACCACTGCTGTTCTCAGCAGTCAACAATGTGGTTAGTGTTAGCCCGTTTCCAAGAACAAGTGGGGCTGGTATGTAAGGAGGCTGATTCCTAGCTGAAAAAGCTATTCCGGAAACAGGATTAGTGTCTGCTGAAACAGACAAACAAGGATTTTGTGTAAGGCCAACATTACTAAGGATAACAGCGCTAGATATCGTCGGTAGACTGGCGGTTGTAGTAGTAGATCTATTTGTCAGGTAATTCGACTGTGAAACAGCCGTCTGATCAACAGTGATGCACGTGTTTTCAAGATTTGATAATGCACTAGTTAAGAGTGGCAAATCATTCAGTCCAACTGTAGCATTATTATCAGCTTTAGTAATAACTGATTGGAAAGACGCTGCAGTATTATCACCTGATTCCAATTTCAATGAAACAGGCACAGAATCAATTTTTGCTGTAGTACTGTCAGGAGAAAGATGGTTTAAATATAACACAGACGACCCAGCTGATGTGTTAACTTCTGATTGCTGATTTAATCCAAATTGGGGTATAAACAAGTTTTCTGTTTGTAAAATCTCAGGATTTGCATGTGGAACACCAGTTTTCTCAGTATTATCTGTTTTTAAAAATAAAAAGCTAGTGTTTATTTACCATTTACATATCCTCACAAAATAAATCTCTTAGAAATTTAACAATCTATACCCAAAACCTGCAATGATAAAGAAGGCTTATTATTTGTACCATCCAGGACAAACAATTTAAAGAATGACAACGCAGTAGTTACTACCTCTCAAAATATTACAAGAAATGCCAGTGCGGAAAATCACTTTTTTACCAACTTCATTAAAAATTTTAGCACTACCGCACCGACAACTTGTTGGATTTTGACTTACACTTCTCTTAAACCAACCTCATCATTTTCACACCTTCGAAAGTAAAGGGATTCATGAGTGCATATCGCTATTAAAGTACCCAAGACCTTTTACATGTACTTCCGATCACAGGTGCTGCAGAACAGAAACTGTAATGGATTGGGAATGAAGTTAGCACTGAAAACACATCAACCCATGGATTTCTGATGCTGAAGGTAATCTCTAGGGAGTAAAAAGATAATGGTTCCAGAAACTATTCACAAAAAAGTTACGCGTAACCAATCTTAAGCAGTTATCTCACAGGCTCTATGGTCATGCTTCTAAGCAATATTATCACCAAACTGGTCTCCAGTTACATTCCTGAAAAAGTATCTTTCCGAGATGTGGATAATTGGGAAGTACTAACCATTAGTACACCTCTAACAGCACATAATCTTATATTGTTCATGGAAAGATCCCATGTTTTTGCACGTTTATAAATTCTTGTCAACTTGGTCCCATACCAGCTAACATTCAATATCGGGATGATAGATAATTAAGTATATTTAACACACAGTTCAACCACCTCAGCCTGTGTGGGTTTACAGGCTCATTGATGAACTTGTCCTTTTTTTCCCAATACCTTCCACATAAACCCAAGACCACTCACTTGGTAGTTCTCAACGTGAAAACGAGCTCTGAATGCACATACGGTCAAGTACATGGAACCTATATGTGTCTTCTACTTCAAATGATCATGGTTAGTAGCCATATATTAATACGGAAGAAACTGATGAGCAAAATACTCACTCTTTTATTGACGGACAGAAATTCCACTTGTGGTGCAGGTGTGAAAGCTGGTGGGTTCTCTGTATCCGTACCAAAACTTTTTCAAGCACTAACCTACCAGCGCTGACCAGATTTTCATCTTGTTAGTGTTTTTATCAAATTATGACATATGCGTATTCTAAGTCAATAAGTGAATCTAGTAGACAAATACTCGAAAAGTCAAAAAAGTTACCTCTTAAAGAATATCTGTCACGATTAAATAAAAGTGGGGAAAGTTGGTAACTCTGATGAACGTAACGTACCCGAAATACACTTGGGTGAATCGTGTAGTATATCAATCCTATAATTTCTAGTGTATTAACTGTAGGGATAAGGAGCGATAATGCCTAACCTGATAAACATAAATACATCATATTGACATCAACCATAGTATATGCTGCAGTTATACAAGACCTTAAACCAAATTAAAAGGTTAAGAAAGACCCATGTATTTCGAAAGCTTCTATTAAATTGCTAAGTAGTCTGAAACTTATCTTGCCACGTTTAAAGTATGATGAGTGAAAGAACACAAATACAGACTGAAAAAGGACTTACATGCTAGGAGAAGTGGTGCCCAAAGGAAGCAATAGAGAATAGACAGTGGTGGCATCTAATACTAAACACATTTATTCCTCTCCCTCCAAGTTTAAAGTGTTGTTCCAAGAATGATCTGAATTAAGATATAGCCGAGCGTGTTGACTAATTCACCTATCTTGACAATTTTATTAGTCCTTAAAGATTGGTGCATGATGGGATATTGACTAAGATTAAGAAACCTCACTTGGTTTTCGCGAATTTGAGCGCACTACATAGTGAGTGAGATACCTATTAGTCTACTAAGGGTCATTTATATGATAATCAGTCAGCTACAACGTAGGACCAGGCATATATATGCACCGGTCCAAGTTGCCACAAGTCATTAGCACAAGAAGATTAACATCGAATTCATACAAGTAGTTAATTCAATGGTGGTAGTATATAAAACAAAGATTGCATATAAGGACATAGTACAGGAAGAAAGAATTAGTTAGCAGGAAGAAAGATATGAAGCGATTTTATTCTCTTAGCTTAAGGGATGACAGAGAGTGCATACACCTACACAATTGTGATCGATTCTGAGCCATGTCACCCAGAGTCTCCAACCATTGGTTACGATAGCCTCGCGGACCCCAAACAAGTAGTCTGCATTCACCAACATGGCTCAGACATGAAGTCAGTGATGTTACGGACTGATGCTACGTTTAGGTTTGGCCGCCCCTAGCTTTCTTCCAACTGTCTCCAACACTAGTTAGCATTGCGCGTCGTGGTAATGTGTTCAGGGGGGAGAAACGCATCCCAAACATCCCGGTATTGTTGCTCAGTGCTACCAAAAAAATGTATTTCATCAGCTTTTTCACCAAACAGAACTATATCTTCTGCTTATCCTAAGTCGATAAATGGACCTCCCAGAAGATCGATTCCCGAAGATTCGGTCGACGAGAACGCTATTTCGGACAGTAGCTCCATGGTGAAATTAAGTAAAGATGGTGATAGTGGATAGCCTTACCCGACACCACTTGATGTTGAAAAATCAGATGACAGTTCGCCATAAGCTCTGACTCGACTGGTAGTGTTCGAGTAAGGAGCCCTCACAAGGTTTATGTACTTCTGAGGTACATCTCTCAATGACAGACACTGTCACAGAACCTCTCGGTCAACAGAGTCAAATTCTGCTTTTAAGTCAAGAAAGACAACCGTTATCGACGCCGATAAGCATGCCTGTGTTCTAGAACCTGACTAATGGTGAATGTGCAACCACAATCAGGTTTGAAGCCGGCCTGATTTTCACGTGTTTGCAGTTCACGAGTCATAGTTAGGTGCCCGATAATTAATGAGGCTAGTATTTTAGGTGTTATGTTAGTCAAACTAATCCCTCTATGGTTATCACATGATTCTGACCCCTTCCTATATATTGGGACAATCAGGGATTGTAACCAGTCAGATGGGATTAAGCCCAACTCCCAGATTTTAGCCAAAATGCTAGTCAACCTAATCGCTGAAACTGGACAACCATTCTTAAAGATCTCTTGAGCCAATCCATTTGGACTAGCTGCTCTTCCCTACTTCAGATTAGCTATAGCCTTTTGAACTTTAGCTAGAGTCGGGTGACCTATTCAATGCTCCATTCACGCTGTCTGAGAATGGTGGGTAGTTGTAGAGTTGCTGAAGGCCAGTTGAACTGTTCTCTAAAGTGTTCCGCCCATTGTTGTAAACGTCTGGGCTGAGAGTAGACAAGAGTGTCGTCTTTTTCCGAGATCGTCTCACTTGCACTTAACTTATTAATTCCAGTTTCTTTTGTTAGTCCGAAGAGCTGTCTTGTGTTACCTACAGCCGCCGCCTTTTCAATCCCCTTTCCTTTCGCTGCCCAATTTATAGAGTAGTCTTCGTCTTATTTTATGGCTACGAAACGTGGCCTCGATAAGTCGATTGATGAAACTATCAATCTTTATAAAGTGAGATGGTTGAGGTGTGTTACATACCCTCAGAGACCGTCCAAAGCGACATGCAATGACGGCTGAGAGAAAGCTAGGGACGCCCAAACCAAGGCACCAATTGTTTATGAAATCACTGACTGAAACGGAGTCGTATTGGTAGGTGCTGATTAAATGATTGAAATCTAAGTGATGAGTTGTTGAAGCTCTTGGGCCACTTGTTTCAGGATCCGTTGCAGTGTAGCAGATACACTCTCAGTATTCTTCTCAACATACCTTGTCTTCATTCCTTTTTTAACGAACAATATATGATCAATATTTGATTCTTCTCAATATTATTATGAACTTTTCATTATCCATCTTATTAATTTTACTTAGTTGTGTTAATTTGGTATAGCAACTTGGTCTAGTGCGAATTTACTCCAAGCTTTACGTTGATTATGACTGACCAGAGGTGTAAAAGCATGTTTATGACGTTTTCTGATATTAGTTAGTAAAGATGTGATCTATTCATTTTCCTTATACTTGTTATTGGAAATTACTTCAGCAGAGGTTCAACAAATGACTACCACAAATTTTTTCAGGGATATAATAAAGTTTAGTTGGAATTTCTTAATCCAAAACTTTGGACGATTATAAAAGACCTTCCATAGATTTTATTGTTTTGTTCAATCACTTGAATTTATATCAGCTTTAGTCAGTCAATCGTCATCAACGTAGTATTAGTCTAAATCTTCAAACTATATTAGTATGATAATGGAACTAAAAAGCTACATATTAGGAGAGATTAAATAATGTGGCAGTATTGACGATGAAAAAAGAGTAAGCATTGAGAATATAGTTCGAAAGGAAATAGTGAGAGTAAATGTGAAGGAATACTGGATTTCATGATCGAGAGGAAGATTGGGAGTAAATGCATCTACGCCATTGTAAACAATTATGATCAATGTCACTAAAAGTCTCCAGACATTGATTAGGGCTATCTCATGGACCCCAACTAGGTAGTGTGCAAAACTATCATACATTCCAATAGTTAATGAATTTATGGACTGTCATCACTTCATGATTTGACGATAAGTGAACCTCTTGGTTCGAGATTGCCCCCCTATAGAGGAAGAACATGTTATTTCTAAGAATATATCTACGATGAGATTAAATAGAAAGAGAGATAGTGAACAGTCGTGAAAAACACCACTCGATGTTGACCATTTCAACAATAATTTGCCGTCAACACTGATAACCAATGGTGGTCGAGTAGATTCTTCACAAGGTTGATACACTTTGTTCCATATTTTAATTACAATCAGTCATAAAATCTCTTCGGTAACAGTAAAAAGCCAATTTGATGTCACGGAATAAAACTATGGTTGGGCGTCGGTAAGTATCCTTGTGCTTAAAACCTGGTGAAGAGTGAACATCTAGTAATTACATTCACATCCATGTCAGAAGCTTCCCAGTTAAACAACTTTGCTCTTACCAAGTACTAGATAAGAATTTGATAATTATAGAATACAGAAGTTTCAACACTACTACGTTTAGTTGCCAAACTCGGTCAACTTAGCGGCTAAAAGTGGACTACTACCATAAAAGACCTCTGATGTTAGTCCACCAGGACCCACTCAACTTCCTCGCTTTAAGTTATCTAAACTTCCCGAAGGTCACAGTATCCTGTAAGACTTATTCTTTTACCCCGTCTAAGCTACAGTCATTATACATATAGGTAAAAACAAGGAAGGAATGGCTCGTGACCTTGTCACTCTTATCTCCCATTGTAACATAGAGACGGACTGCATACAAGCATTTTTCGAAAACGATCCTGTCGAGAGGTGCTTTTTCTGATTTCAAATTCGCTGTTGTGCTCGCACAGGAAAAAATTCACTAACATGACTTCAGATATACATAAAGTATATGAGTTTGGCTCAACTTACTGGTCAGATGAGGTCAAGTAAGTGACCACACTAGGATTGTTCGTGCGTTTGAGACACGATTAGTGACATCCACGCTTAACTGGGGTTCAACAATACCTTGAAAAACAATAGTCCCATGAACCAGTTAAGTCATGTCACTAAGCACAAAATTGGAAGAAGTTCGGACAAATAACATATAATAAAGCAGCTGAAATAGTTTGTATGATAACGAAACTTAGTAGACAGACAAGTTAGCTAGGACCATATTTAAACTACCGAAAGTTATAATACGGCCAGGAAAACGTTTAGAACACTCACCGGTTGCATTAGGATGTTCGCATTCTACTGCTACTGAAGAATGGTGGTCATTTGGAAGTGAGTTGAGGACAGGTAGACGTTTGTGAAAATCATCGGCAAAAAACAATCCCCCTGAACTTGAAGTCTTAGATATTGCAGTTGGAGTATTTAGAACTTCATTTGCATCAATAAGAAAAAACTTTGTGGCGTCAGATGCTGTTTTGGGAGTTTCACCTGAATGAAATGAATCGAAAGACACGTGATAATCGTCTAATGACTGTGCTCCAGAGATTTCATTGGCCATATTTTCAGGAAGTATCTGATTTATAATTTCCAGATATGTAAACAACGGACGTCGGATTTCCGTTTACTTCATCTGGTAGGGAGAATTCGTGAAGCACATAACATCCATCAATCGTGAAATAAGGAGAATTAGAGATCCGAACTTTTTAGGAAGAAAGTCAGATAATATTAACCCTGAAAACTACTTTGGCAAGATATAGTCACGCAGATTGTGCCTAGATTTGATTGAAAAGAACAGGTCACTTGAAATTTTTACTGCAATGTAACTAGGGTCTAGTAAGAAATAAGGTTATTCCAATGGATCTTCTGCCTCTTTGGAAGTAATAAATAACACGTCAGTTGATGGACCATGATGATAAACAGTGTTGGAAGCCAAACATATAAATTAAGGAGAAATATTATCTTAACGATCAGTAGGCAAACGAAACCGGGAGTACCCTCCAAGGTCACAAGATCGAACCAATTAGAAAGCGAAAACAAGGTTTTTCTTTTCAAGGTCAAAAACGACGGAAATAAGCGCTTCGTTTAATTATGCATATGGAGCTACTTGTTGAAATGCATAGCAATCTTAGTGCGGTATGTTAAATTTTTTGTAAATGCTACAAATTCCAATGCAGTATCAACGATTTCCTAAAATTTTCAAAACTTTTTAATCTTCATCAGGCTCACTTTAATGAGCGATGTGCTAAACAGTGTATGAAGGTTGGAAATATCGACGGAGCGATCTATTACTATAAAAAGTCTATTGGTAAGCAACTAATGTTCTTTCGGCACTCGATCTAATGTTAGTTTTCACCTATATGTGTGCCCAATATTTATGCTTCTAACTTTGCTGGCATTCGAACGTATGTATATATGTATGTATATGTATATATCTCTATGAACCAAAGTGATTATATAAATCGTAGTCAACACTGTCTCGTTTCTGCCTATGTTCGTATTTTTTTATGGTGCTTTAAGAATTCTAGACTGTCCACTGATGCTTTTTAGTTTTTATACTGATAATATAGTCACTTTATTTTCGACATTCATCTTGTTACGATTCTGTGGTTATGCTTTTGCTAAACGTGTGGCAAATTCTATCGCTTCCTATTCACACTAGTTACGGTGCTGTTTATGTTTATCTGCTCAGTGCAAATGCAATCTGGATCTATAAATAAAGCCACTAATCCTAGGAATTATCCCAACTTGAACTGCTCATGTGTAGCACAGTGCTATTTTCTCCTTAGTCTATATTAAGCCTATAACTATCAAACTTTCTATTACTTTCTAAAGCCTTCATGGAGCTAACCCGGGACGAAGTTGAAGAGGGCGATCATGATTATGTAATTATTGATTTACAGTTATCATCACTGAAACTGAGCTTAAGTGAGGCGGTATCAAGGAAGACAGAAATAATATCTGGTGACCAGAACATTTCTTTGAAGACAATTCCTGCTGACCATTCATTTTATAACAGAAAATCAGCTGACTCCCCGTCATACTTACCTTTATCCTCAAATCAAACGTCCAATAAAAAGGAACAAGGAGCTGCTGTTAAACTTCCTAAAACTGAATTTCAAACACGTGAAGAATTAGTTACCTGTATCGAAGAACTTCGAAAACTTGTGAGTTTTTTTTGAGGGAAAAACAAATGATTTTCATCCAAATTAATCACTTGTTCAGAAAAGTTTCCTAAACTCGTAATCTCATCTCTCCCCACCCAGCGAAAACTGCATATCCTAAGTCAAACTTTTGTCAGAAACAAGCAAGACAGTTACTGCGTTTTCGGCTTCACACCTTTAATCCATCAAGGGTCACTTACCTGATGTTTCAGTTTTTGTGAAAATGAAAAAGTGATGCCTCTTCATTGTTTAAGATCACAATAAATTGTGAATAGCAACGAACATAAACTTGTTTCTCAGCTTCTGTTCTGTTTGTCTGTCGCGCTACCTAATCTAATAAGAGGGTTATAGTAAACCATATTTTCATTGTAATCTCTCTGGCATCTCATCTTGTCACGGTCGTTAACTCCTGGATAGATTAACTAATCTATGAATAAACATGTATAGAGTATTTGGCGACTATTAGATCTTCGGGATTATTTTTACCCATACTCCTGAGTAGTTTTCAAAACTTACAGCTAGAGATTTCGAACCCGACTATATAGTGAAAATTTTGTGTTTGTATATATAAATCAACTATTTTGTAGAGGGTATATTAATTCATAATTAACCTAAAAGGTTCGATTTGACGTGAAGATAGCAGTAGTTTTGATTAGAAACTCCTAACAGAAATTTCAGAATATTTTATGGAGTTCTGGCGAATAAGTATTTGTTGAGACACTCATCCTAATGAGTTTTGAGCAGGATGGTGAATATAGATAGGCTGAAGAAAAGTGGTTACAACTGTTTTGAGCAATAATCTGAGAGAAATATAAATTCATTTAAATAAATAGTTGACATTTTATCTATTCATTAATGGAATTGGTCTTGTTTCACCAATTCCTATCACTGTAATCCAGTTGTTACTTTCACTCGAATCCATCTCTTGCGTGTACTAATTTGAGGTAAGACCACTTTGCTGATACTTTTTTCCATTCCTCCCATGTTTATCTCTTTATCCAACTATTTAACTCCATCCTTCGTTTTAAGACCTCACTTCACCGGCTTAATTTAGATATTAAGGTGCAGATTACGCTATTAGTCTCCAAAAAAACAGTTATTTGTTGATAATACTCATTTTCCCACGTACAGGTTACATACTTGTCTTTAAGCCACTTATATGAGCAGCTCGTATCATTTCACAGCTGCTTGAACCTAAGTTAATGGAGGAGAGGGAAAGTAGCCTAGCAGTTGAAGTGCTCGACTTTCAAACATTAGGTCACAGGTTCCTACTCATCTAGACTTACTTCTGTTCAGTCACTTAGGTAGAATTACTAACCCTTACACATAAAGTGTAGCTCAAAGCTGAAAATCCAAACCCGTACTTAAATAGTGTATCAAGTAGTCATTCATCAACAAATATTGCATCACTTTAATAATTACTCTGAATAAACATCTTCCTGGTTCCCAGCTATCAAATGGGATATCAGTACTTTGTTCTTACCGTAGGAGCCAAGTGTTTATGTAGAATTTACTGTATTTTGCATAATTTAATCTATTTTTAATGCCGGAGATTTTTGGAAATTTTCAAATTTTATAGTGTACATCACGAACTGACTTTAGTCTGGAGTCATTTTGTAATGTAAGCTATAAAGTTCAATCGACTTTGGCTTCCAATCAATCTAAATAACTGCACGTATCATAATTATAATGCTACGACTGTAAATTGTTGTCAGTAAAAGTGACTAGTTCCTGCAGTTATTATGTCTCAACGAAAATCAACTAACTACCGTCTGGTTAAAATCGATTTCTTTTTTATCAGTGTGTTTTAAGGTGTGATGATCTTGTTTTCTCCTACTGAACTTTTAAGGTGGACATGTTGGCATCCCAGCTCAGTCGAGTTCGTCAAATGCTTTCAGAAGAACGTGAACGTCGTCTTGCTATAGAAGCGGAACTAATATCTTCAGGTGGTTTTAATTATCAATCCAATGAATCCTTCACCTACCACAATTACGATGATGACGATGGTTTTGATGAAAACAGACCATGTGTTTTTACAGACCTCACGAAACTTACATGCTTAAACTTTAATACAGCTGCGCCAGATTTATCTAATGACGATTCAACTTTACGTGAACCACATCAAGCGTCAAACTCCAATGTGTCAGACTCATTAGAGCCGAAATAATTATATCGTAATTATTGTGCATCATGCTGCAATCTTTTTTGCACAGAACATCATTTCCGCTACGACAGCTCCCCCGGTGTTCCACTCAATATGAAAAAAACCAGTCGTTTCACAGCTGATTTCCTATAATTATGCTTACGGGCTAGCAATTTAACATGGATCATTTATCGAATGATGGATTTTTGTTATCAATGAACACTAATGTGTTTCATTCAAACCACTATGTATGCATTTTCTGCCTTGTTTGTTCTTTTCTTTTCTACATATTTTTGGGTAGTATACAGTATGACGACGACTACAAATCTTTTTTATTCTACTTCCTTTAATATTCAGATGAACTGTATGATGTCTTTCAAGCAGAGAGTAATAATTCATCCATTCCTTTGTTTTCAGCTGTTTCCATTAACGAAAATCGATCTGTCTTTCAAAAAGTATAATAGTAATGACTTTCATTATTCTCAACCTAAAATACTGATAAAGCTTCACATTATTTTTTACATAAAATGATTTCGCAAAAACATCCTACGTTTCATTCTGTTAAAGACTTCTAATAACTGATTTATCCACCCTAAAATTGCCATACGGTTACAATGTAAACAGATACTATATACGAACTTTCTTCATTAATTAAAGCGGTAAATCCTCCCTTTATCCGTATAGAATAATCTTAATTTATATCGTGCGATCGTAGTTAGAAGAAATTGACCTATGATTAGAGATGCAGGACCTTTAGGCGTGGTCTGGGAGATAAACTCTATCAGTTCCCTGAGACTTTGAGTGACATTGTTCATAAACATTAACAGTGGCATAAATACATTCATTTTCCGTCGTTCTTTTGATCCTGAGTTTGAAAAGTATCTCATACTTTTTGTACGTAAATCGATTACCTCCTCAAGTCATATTGCCAGTGCCTAATATGTTCTATTACTACTACTATCACTCTGGCTTTTGTCTTGATAATTTTGTCTCATTGTGCATATACGGTAGGCCAACTTGAACTGAAGAACGTATGGCAACAGGTCCTACTTTAGTTATGATTGACTGAGAAAATAGAGATTAAGCGTACATCCAGCCAATCCGTGACCTTATTATTTCCCAGATGCATGTGTTCCTTACCGCGCATACTTCCGCCATGGAACTTATATAGCTGAGAAATCCAAATTGTTTAGTTAAAGCAGCCGAATAATTAGAAAACAAACAATTTAGTATAGATTTGATTGATAGACTATCCCAATAATAAGAAAAGTAGTATCTTCCATAAATCAATATTTTATTTAACAGAAGCAAGAAAAGTATTTCTGTACGAATAATTTATCCAAGTTAAACTAATGGTCTTTGCCATGACAGTGACTTTTTTTTCATTTCAACCAGCTGTTTACTGTATCTTTCGTCATAGTAATCGATTTACCAAAAACAGTAGGTTGTACTTGTACAGGATGAAGACGTGTAATGAATTGTTTTAACTCCAGAAAACTACTATGTTCACTATATGATGCACCTATTTTAAATATACAAAAACAATAAGTCATTATTTTAATATAGAAATATTAGAAGCATTATTACTACTAAATTATGTGGAAATAAAACTTTCGGAATTCCTGCTATTTACAGAGGATATATTTTGATTTACTAAAGAGAAAGTTAGCTAGATAAATAATAGAGATTGACATGAGTTGAGTATAGTTTTTATCATGAAATGACCCAAGGTGGATAAATATTCAAGGCAAAATGGTGTTTTATAGCATACTTCGAAATTCCCCAGCAGTACTACCTGTTCCAAAAGAATAACAAAAAATATAAACTCACTGAGATTATATTAAAAAATGAAAGCCCAGATATTTTGCATACTCCACAGAAACTGTAAACATACATTTCTATTAAATTGTCCCAAATCAACATTACTAAAAATAGCAACTAATCAATTACTCCCCTACTTATATTTATATTAGTAATAATCGTATCCTTATAGTTGCAATATGTATAGTAATAATTCATGACACAATTAGTGTATCTTAATAAGTTTTAATTAAATTTTGTTAGCTAAATTAAGAGTTGAAGCATTTCATATCGATCTGAATTATGGGATACTAAATCACCTCACTATGTTAACTATGGGAGGCGAAAATAAATTCATTTTATTGTTGCATAAAACCATACTCAAAAATACAGCCATCAAAAGGATGATAATGAAATCGGGATCCAAAGCTAAGTACTTAAGTGGTTTCGTGATAGAGAAGAATCTTAGTCAATGAACACTAGTATTTTCGATTCAGATGAGTGATATCCAGCTATCTAATCCAAGTTACAGTTCATAATGCTTAGCGTCAAAAAACAAATCGGAAAGAGACAGTTGTCCGATCCCTCTTGAATTTAGTGTTTCAACTAAAATACACTATAGTTACCACTCTGACCTCCGAATGAGATAATAACTGGCAAATTAAGATCATAATATGAAATAATCGAGTTTAAAATAAGAATCTATGAATTCTTGGTTCAAAACACTTTAAATACATAACAAAAATTAAACTTCGTTTTGTAAGTAATACATACTAGCTGCGAAAATAAATTCTCACCACTAAGAGTATTTCACATAACTGATAATAGAAATCGTTTGACTATTCCTGTAAGACATCAATACAATTTATGAAAATAGTGTAAGAAAACCTCGAAGTCAAACAAGTAACATTCTTTATCACAATACCAACGCTTAAATTGTTAATTATAGTATCCAGAAAGTTCTACAGAAATAAGAGTGCGGTATTACAATAATCAAACAGAGATAACTATAAGAACAAAGCTATGATGTACTTTGGAGAAATTTGGTTGGTGTTTTCAAGACACACGAATCAGCTACACAATTATTGTTCTATCAAATTGTTTTCCTCCTGTCCAATGAATTCCGTTAGAATACACAACAGTTAGATATATTTTTTCTCTGTTTTTACGGTTATATACACGAATCTATACTTATATTTTTATCAAATACAGGGATAACAATCTTTCTGGGTTTTTTCTGTAAATTCACTGGTCACAACCAAAGACTAGACATCATAATCCAAGAAAAGTGTGATTTCCATGAATACATGTGTTCGCTATGTTGATTGCTACAAGTGACGAAATGTACAAACAACAAATAAACACGTGAATAACAATTAAATTAACAATGCATTAGTGATAATATCAAACAAAAAAGTATCACGTTACCTTAATTATTAAGTATCTAATTCATTTGAAAGTCATCAAAAAGATGACACATCACATATGCTCATTCACAACCAATTAGTAATATAATTTTGATGGAAATCTTCTACTACAATACAACTATTACTAGATAGCGAAATCAACTTTCATTGGTTATAAACTGTTTATTTAAATGGAATACGAAATATGTTCGTCTAACCATGTGATATTATACCAAGTAGTACAGTAATTAAACAACCTTTATACGCATTTTGGATTGCTGAAGAATGGTTAAATCTCAAAATAAGAAAAATTCGGTGCATCACTTGTAGAGTCGGGTAGAGGTTTGTGTATGATACAATCTCTTATATTCCACTGATGTGATAAACGATTGCTGAAAGTGTTTGATATATAAAAATAACAGGTAGTCTGGTGTTTATTTCAAGTTTAAAACCATTAAAAGTATAGTGTAAATTTGTATCTGTTAGATTGACTGAGATACATTACGTTCACTGAGTTCATTTAGAACTGAAAGTTCACTTTAATTAGGATTAAGTAAATAAACGGATCAAAGATGTCACTGATTATTATATCCTCATGAGAAAATATTGTTACTTGCTGAAATCGGCAAGAAAGCGTAGATTGTTGTTAACCTGTTACATAGTCTTACAGCTTTACTTCCCTGATATAAAACATAAAATTTAAACTAATACATCACTGTACCGTGCTTCAAGTCGTTTCTATTCGTCTCTATTCATAAGTGAATCAAATGACATTAGTATCGTGGTTTTGTATAGATTGCTAAAATTTCATAGCTTATATTATGGAGTGATTTTAATAAGACCTCCACTGAAAACCAGAAGGTACTACACAGTTGTTCCGAACCAATATGGAACTCCTCAGCAGTGGGCAACCAAATCGAGTATAAGACAGTTAATCACTGTAGACAATATATGGTCGCGCAATTGTCTGAATTTAGATACATACACCATTGGATCCCAGCTCAGTGGTCTAGAGTTTAGGCGTCCGCGCGCGAGACCGAGGGTCCTTTGTTCGAGCCCCTGTCGGGTTGTGGGTGCGCACTGCCAACGGGTCCCATACTAATACGAAACTTTTGTTCAATGCTTTATAGTTTTCAATGGTGGTATCAAACCAGTTCGTGATGTAAATTATCAAATGACAATAATTTACGGATGAATATAGCTAAATAACTATGATGTCACCTGATCGATGGTTAACCTAATGGCAATCGAGAACTTAACAGATTCAAGATCTCTCCACTTGTCTAGACATATAATCTGATATTCAAAACTAAGGGGAATTAACTGACTGAAAGCAAATACCTGAAAGCTATTTTGCATCACCTGATTTATGTTTGTTCAATTCTCAAACACAAGATGGCTGACGAAGTCAAAATAAGATTCCCTACTTTTTTAATAGACTGATGTAGAGTAAACGAAGCTGATTCTCATTCTCTGGGATAATATTTCATGTTAACAGTCAGTTGTAATCCCGATAAACTCTGAAAGATTTTTGAAACCTACATATGCAACTGGGCAAAGACAAAGATAACGGAGACATTTAGACAGATCAAATTTTAATGAGAACTGAAATAGTTTATGCTCCAAAAGTCAACTAAAGCATATCTACGCACAGTTCTTTTTCATCAATCTCCGTTCCATGACCGATAAACTTTTAGACAACTAGGGAATATGATTGTTTTAACCTGAAGATTAGTTCTTACATAATCAACATGTGGATTGACTGAACCAATATTACTCGCCACAGCATTTTTCTACCTCAATTTTAGTGATTAATCATAATATCAGTGAACGAAATAGCTTGTGACAGTTTCAAAATTTACATTTTGCTGACTTGCTTTGAAATGCACAAATAAGAATCATGTTTGATGGTGTTTTATTATTAGGTAACAAGTAAAATGATCTTCCTACTGAGCAAAGTGAAAGTCCATTGAATCTGTTAAACTAGACTGAAATATATCATACTAACAACATAGAAAACGTTTCTCTTTCAATGAAATTTAGGATAAATCTTACCAACTAATAAGTTGAATCGTTTACTAGCATCCTAACGAATTTCTGTGTCAGCTATCATTCGTATGCATCAGATAAAAGTATAATTTATTTATCTCAGTTAGCAACCTAGAACCGATAATACACACGAAAATTATTCAGATAAGAAGGTTAAGGAGATTATTTCAATTTAAAGGTAGTTTTTCTTATGTGTTGACCTCAGTTAGGGAACTATTAGAAACAGACAGGGCGGTGGAGCAGTGTGTTCGGGTTCTGTGAGATTATCATAACCCTTGATTCGAGATAATTGATGGCATCATTCATAATCAATAACAATAGAGGAGATCCACTGACTCTTTCGCTTCCTTAGATCTTTAGTTTGAAAGCCAGTTCACAATTTCTATTCCACGAATGCATTCTCCCCTCTCAAATTATATTGTCTATTAAGAGGACTGGTTGAAGAAACTGCTTTCTATAAGTCTGAAACTGATCGACGGTAATAACCTTCGACCCTGCCAAGTATCAATAACAAAACCAGAAACCCATTTCCACCCGTAGCCCTTCTAATATTACTACCGGTTTCAAGTCCAGATAGGAAAGTACTGTTGGACAAAGAGTTAGTAACCCCATGCCTTACAAAACAACCCTGCCACAAATGCCAATCACGACAAACAATTTAAACCATTAAAACTCTGTCATTTGTGTTGAAGGATCTTCATTTAGAAGAATTATGGCCTATGCCGCTCCACAAGGGTAACAAGAGTATGTCAGTGAGTTAGATTCAGAATCTAGTGCTCTATTCATTTTAAATTCAGTTTATTCACGAGATGATATAATCATCATTCAACCTCTGACTCAATATAATCGAACACTATTGATTTAACGAACTCTTTTCACTCCTATTCTATTTGTAGGCAGTGTGAGTATTTGTAAGCATATATTGAAAATATATGTATTCATAGATATTCCAATATGTTTGAATTAATAAAAAGACGTTTAATTGATTTGTCTACAAATAACCATCAGTAGATGATCATTTCTAAATTACATTAACTTTCTTCGCAAGATCAAATAAACTTTACAATAAATATTTTAAACTCTTCATTTACTAATAAGCAAGTGAGTTGATGAGTATCTTCAAAACATTATAGAAGTGTCAATATGATAGGTAATCCAGTTTGACTGAAAATACATAATGGAAACACAATAGAATTTCATTTTAATTCACTAAATTGAAATGAGAAAATAATAATTACAATAAAATAAATGATTTTAGATGAATTCTTTCAGTATAAAAAAAACAAACTAGAATTACCTTTAATAATCAACATTTTTAATTGATTTTTAAGTAACCATTTTTATTAGTATACAGATATTGTATTTCACTATGTTTGTTTGTTTATTCGCATACATCCATGAATGAATGTAATGCAATGCAATGTATGTAATGTTAGAGATAATATCGCTAATTCCTTGTCTGTCTATCTATCTATCTAACACTGTATAATTACTAATGTGAAATATATTTATTACAAAGTGATAATGACCAAAAATAAATTACATAAATGATTCAAACAAAATATATTGGCTCTAATTCAAATGTAATTTTCAATAGATGTACTTCAACAGTTAACTCATTTGTGTCATATACACGTATATATATATATATGCTGTATATAGGAATGTTAGTAAATCAGCACAATAACATTAATTTATATAGAATAATACAAATTTTATTTTATTTTGTTAGTACTCTCTCATTACCTACTAACAATCTGTAATAGTTCAATATCGAAACTTATAAAAAATAATAGAATTTAACATACTTTATGAGATATGATGTTGATCAAAAGTTAGTGTGAAAATGTATCCGTATAGTGTAGTAAAGTATTATTTTTAAAAAGAAAACATTTTTTCCTTTCATGAATGATTACATTAAAATGTTGAAACTGCATATTATGTGTGTGAAGGGAGATTTCGGGGTAACCGATGAAATGGATAATAAAAATGGCTTATGGATCAATTTTAAAAGTGATTAGGTAAATGAGTATCAAAGGTTAAAAGATAATTACGAATGGTAATCAGTAATGAATTAGACTGATTTATTTGCAAAACACAACCATGAGTCGGAAAAGATTTAAAGCAAAGTGTAATCAGATAACAGCAAAGAATTTAAAAATAAACTCGTGCTTCCAGACAAAAACTTTGTCATTAGGTCAGTAATAATAATAAAATGAGATGACCTAAACATATATGTACATAAACATGCTTAATTACAGTTGAAGTTTTAATTACTTGGTCAAATCTTGCTCCAGGTTGTCAAAATTCAGGTAGTCATACAGAATTGATAGCCTATGAGATCAATACATAAACTTGGGTGTGATTTGTGAAATGCTTAAAGAAAATGAAAAAAAGGTGTTTTTGGAAAACCCACTCAAATGCAGCTGATAAGATTAAGAAACTTGCTAATGACCTTATCAGGATACATGTAAGCAATTTGACAAGGATGATAAGGTAAATACACTTAACCACTAATGATTTATCAATTGCACACACCTTAAGTACACAGTTTTAGAATACTTTTACGCGAAGATTAAAATAAAGTAATATACGTAAATATTATGAAAAATGCATCAACTAAAATTAGGTAGCGGAATATCCTGAAACCGATTGTCGATATGCACGACAAAACAAAGCTGAACTGACAATGACAACTAACATTAATGACTAAAAAAATTATCTAAGAACAAGTTAAAAGATGACTAAGTTTGCCTTCGATCCTAAAATAAATGATTATCAACATTCAACAAACCTCTGTATTGCTCTACTTTAGATACTGATCCTGAAAATAAAGAAATACAAAATATGAACGTGTTCTAAACATGTAACCATCAGAAAACTTACCATAAATGTGAATGTCGCCCTTTTTCTGTTCCAAAACAATGCCGTTCCGTGGAGGTTTCATTGATGTTTGAGTATTATTTGACTGCCGATAAGACCAACCAGTTGGGCGCCAGCCTAGAATAGACCTCAATTTAGAAAGGGTTGATGAACTGTGAAAAGGATCAATTGGTAATCGATTGCCCAATTTCTTTTGATATTCAACGAGGCCTGTCACATTTAATTGCTGCATAGGTAGAACATGAAGTTGAGCTTTGTGAGAACTGTCAACGACATATTGAAGCAGTTCTTTGCATACAGTACAACCGCCTTGTGCAGCTAGCTTGATTAAACGATTTTGATTGTTTGGCAACCAAACCTTTAGGTTTAGTTTAGAGGCAAGACCTGGTCGCAGATTAATTGACATAAGAAATAAAACTCAATGAAAAATAAAACACAAAAGTTAGCAAACAATCATATATATATATATATATATATATATATATATATATATATATGCTACCACACAGAACCTATAATCCAAACAGCTTATTTTGTAGCATAACAAGCACATAAGAAAAGTGCTTCACCTGTTACAGGCATAAAAACAGGGAATACATGGTGATGATGATTTTATGATCGTATATCGATTTAATTGTTCAAGTTAGACGCCAATTATGTTCGGGTATCCATTATACCAAGGTAAGATGAGTAGCAAAAAAGGCATCTTCAAAATGATAAGATAGGAAAAAAACGTTTGATACCGTGAGCCGTACGCAGAATCATAAGCCATTTATTTTGTACTCACAAACAACAGTAACCAGTGTCTGAATAACTTAAGTAAAGTGGTCAAAAGAACTTAATGATAGTTAGCATGAAGCACTGAACCTAGGTCTCCTGATGAAATGCACTCGTCAACAATAGTTATAGATGGCACTTAGAGAATTCATCAGCCCAAAAACATTTGAAAACTATGTTGTCCAGTGCTACAACCAATGGCATTGCCACTAAGCTATCTGGACTGTGACTAACCTCCCGTAAGACTGAGATGAATAAACTAATTAGCCACTACGGGATATGTTGTACGGCATTCAATACTGACCGGGTTTCACCGATGAAGTCTGCACGGATTCAAAAAGTTCGTTTGGCTTTTGCCAACTTACGTCACCTATAGTGAAGGTGAGATACCCGTCTATCAATTAAAGGACGAGTATACTGCGCGGCAGTTCGACCTGTTTTACTTTACGGCTGGGAGACGTGGCTATTAAAAGTAGAAGATACTTGTAAGCTACTAGTATTTGGTCACAGATGTCTTAGAATTATTGCCAGTATCTTCTGGGATCACCGGGTAAGTAATTGTGAGGTTAAACGCAGGAGTATTAGGGAATGATGGTAAATCAGTTGACGAGGTTGTGAATCTTCATCGACTGATATGTTTGGGCCACGTGTTGTGTATGCCTGAACACCGATTACCACGACGCGCAATGCTCACTAGTGTTGGAGATATATGAGAGAAAGGTAGTGGTGGCCAAATTAAAACGTGGCATCAGTCGACAAAGTCACTAACTTCTAGTCTGAGCCAAGTTGGTAGATGTAGACTACCTGATTGGAGTCTGCACGACTCTCATAACCAGTGACTGGAGACTCTGGGTGAAATGACTCAGAATCGATCACAATGTTGTAGGTGTATATAGTCGTTGTCTTCCTTTAAACTGTGAGATTATAATTGCTTCATACTTTTCTTTCTACGAACCAATTCTTTTTCCCTATATCATATCCTTAGATGCAATATTTATTTATATATATTACTAACATATTACTGCTATAAATTTGGTGTTCACCTTGTTGTGCTAATCAAGTGTTGCAACCGATGCATATAAGTGCCTGGTCCTACTCTGTTACTGATTGACTGATGAAGTCAGGAAAAAAGGACAGGGTCTAAATGGTTTGAAGATCGAAAGGTCTGTTGCAGGAATCCAGTAACAACACTTAAAACATAAGTACAAGGAATCATTACCAAGGTTTGACTTGATAATTTCAAAGGAATTGAGCATTGGTTAGATTGTTATAAATAAAAAATAATATATTTGTAATATCCCAATGGGAGGAAGTGGCTTACACTGAGTCATGAAACGTCAGAAAATTTAATTCTCCTACTCATTGGGATATTACAAATATATTATTTCTCTATTTATAAGTATAGGGAGATGGATATACGTATCAAACTTGTCGTAGTAAATTACGAAAACAGATCGACACTAGAATACCGACGTAGAATTGCACATAACTTTATAGTTTCGAAAGCTGCGTTATCAACATTTTAAAATGAAATTCAAACATTCTCAAGAACCTTCGAAACATCCGTCTAAAAAGACTATCCCCCTAGCTGTTCGAAATAGACGTACGACACAACATGACTAGGGAGGTTTAAAAAACTTGTTACCGAATTCGATGAGTTACAGTATTTGTTGAGGGTAGATCCTTAATTAGATATTTATAAAACTTCTTTTTTGATATGTTGTAAGGCAAAGGGACAGACGGCGAATCGAATACTTTTCACATCATTAAAAATGTAATTTCCTCTTCTAATGCTCACCTTTATTGATATGAGCCTTTTTGGTAGTCACCATTTTTAACCGCATCCTTTTGGACGGATACCCTAATGGTTTGGTTGTGAATAAATTCTTTTTTAAAATCTTTGAAATGTGCCAAACCAAACCAATCAATAATCTACTTTATCCTAAAACTATTACATAATAGTTAAATTATTTTTGGATTATAAGATGTGTATGGTAAAAATAGTGTATTAAGAAAAGCACATGAGTGAGGAATCTATATACATATAATAGACCTAAATAAATTACCATCATTACTGCGACTATGTACAGTAGGAGAGATTTATAGGGTGGCCGCTAATGGTGCGCATAGTTGCTTACTAACGAATATATATCGTAGTTATTTTTTTTTAAAAAACTGAAAAATAAACTCAACAGACATTGGACTGTCATGTAATATGTTAAGTTGTGATTTATGAACTTGATATTTACATACTAAATTTCCAGTTTAAACGATGGAAATGTGTATCAATTTAAGAAATCATCTACTTCTGATCTGAGTTATGTTAGATGGTGTAGACTTTATGACTGAAGTGTTTAAATGACACGATTCAAAATCGATTGCAGAGGGCCAAATGCAATTTCTCTGAAATCTCGAGCGTTAATATAATCTTATGCTTTTTATTTCACCATCTTATTTCCTCTTTTCAAGCCACACATTTTTACGTTGTTTTCGATTTCCCCTTCTGTTATTTCGATGTAGTGTAATTAGATCTAAACACAATTGTGCTAAGTTCTATGCTGTTGACGAGTAATGACTAACAGACGATGAATCTATTGAATTTAAACCGATCAATCAATTAATAGTATCCTTAAATCCTCAAACTGTAATATAACTCCAGAAATAGGAAATGAGACTAGACATGACTAATGAGCCTTAAACATTATAGTAGTTTGAAATTTGAAAGAAATAAGAACCAAGTTAGTGGAAATACATCTAGTCTTTAACTACGATGTTCAATAACTATCAAGTGAACACCGATTACTTACGATTAAAGACATCTCCAACTAAGATAGCAACCTTCCTAATACTTTCTCAATGTTTTATGATTGTTGGGTTTTTTTTCCACTTAAAGGTAAGCAGTAGCTTAAGGTAGTTACAGCACTTGAATTTCAACCATGAGGTCGCAAATTTAATCCTAGCTCTGACTACTTTGGCTTGGGCAACCTCACATAAAACGTATACATGAAAACCAAACACACGAACCAATACTTGTACGGCTTTGAAGAAAATGTAACAAATTCACAATTAACATGGTATTTTAAATGATTTAATTGAAAGTTTAAATATAACAGTGATCAACATGTAGATCTTTGTTTAGAAAAATAAATAGGTACTATGAAAATGGAAAGTTTTCTATTATTGTGGTGAAATGCGAAAATCTACGTGATTTCTAACACACACACACACACACACACAGCGCTTTTATTCCCAATGGAATATTTATGAGTAAATTGAAAGTAAGAACTTTGTAGAACTATTTGTGAATAAGAAGAAAAAGTAACTAAGATAATGCAACTTCCAAAACGTTCTGTTTACAGTCAGAACTGGGATTTGCACTAGTTAAGTGTCATTATATATAAAATTACAGGGAATAAAGCGATCATTTAAGTATTTTTTTTAATGAAACAATAAGACATGAAGGAAAGTTTCAAAGGTAATATAATAAATGTCCAGGTGAATTTTCGTTTCCAATAAGTTAAAATTATGATTGGATAACGCAGTGAAATATTCTTCATTCTTTCTCATTTGTTAACAAGTTTGTTTGTCAATGAACAAATTGGTTGATTTAAACAAATCCTTCGAAATTATCAAGTCAAACCTTGGTGATAACACTTACAAATCCTTCATTTGTATTTTGGTTGAATGTACGTGTGTATTTCGTCATAATGAACATTTTATGTTTACTTTCCATGGGTTTCAGTTTCACTTAAAGACGAAAACCAACAATGGTGAATATTAGTGAAACATATCACTAAATATTTGGTACAGATGAGGAATTGATCAAAATTTACAAAAAATAAACAACCTTTTTAGAGTTAAGATTTTAAACATGATATGAAGTCGCCTTATTAACATGTTGAACACTTCTTTATAAAACAAAAAGATCCTCAAATTGTTATATCCTAGTGAAGATTAAATTACGAGTAACTTCCGAGAACTATTAATGGACTAATATTTTATATGTTAAGTTATTGTATCATTATTCAGTAACTATACTGTGTATATCCATATTTCTCTTATTATAAGCTTCATTTTGACCTATAGATTATTATTGTACGATTTACTGTTCTTAAGTTATACACAGTTATTTAATTGCCGTCTCCCACGTTCACAACTACTTTTTGGCCTGAAGTTGTATAAATGTTATCTCCTATTTTATGGTGTGACACGGTCTGTTTGGCTGGTATACAAACAAAGTATGTTTGAAATAAATGATTCGATTAATGGAAGCTGTTATTGGTGTTCTGGACTTAACTGGACGGGCTAGGAGAGCAAAGAACCAGTAGGACACTAGGCTGATCAGACCAGTCGAACGTCATTAGTTCAGGTACAGTACAAGATTGAATAAGCCGTATTTCGATTGGCAAATAAATTACGTGATAAAAAATCGCATTTAAAGTCACAACACAAACCATTTTTGCATCATATAAAAAAAGCCTGATACAACCTCTATAATGAATACCGAACAAGAAACCACGTTTAAATGTGCACTGCACCAACCAGTTCAAGTGCACAAAGTAGTTTAATTGGATATAATTAATTTGCTTTTACGTGAAAAAGTCATT